AAACCACGAGAAGAGATGCTTTGTGACTAATTCAATTTAAGTATTCTTCACCGTTGGAAATACCGTTGCATTCGTTTATTGCTAAAGAAAAAAAAAACTAATTATATAGTTGTTTTAATTGTTACTTGATTATTTTATAAGAAGTCACAATTATCTAATTACCATTAAAAAAACTTTTAAGTAATCTTTATGATAGTTGTGCTTGAGATTATTATTTCTAAAGAAATACATTTTTGTTCTCGACTTATTGTTCCGAATAATATAAACATTTCATTTTTCAATATTACATGAAATTTAATGATTATATATTTTCAATGCAAAATCGTGTAAAAGAAAATTCGTTGCTTACGTTAATTTCAGGCTTATGTTCTCAAAAAGATTTGAAATATGAATATTTGATCAAAGGGATAATTAATATCTACAAATGATATATCTTATAAATTTCGATTACCTAACCATCAAAGAGAATTTACATTCTCGTGAAAAATGAAGAAGTATCTGATGTACGTTTTGAAAACTCCAAGGGCAGATGAAAATCCCGGAAAATGCGAGGCTAGTTTCCGATAGTATAGTGCGGTTACCGGGAGTCAAAATAGACGAGAGATAGACCTAGATTGATGCGAGACGCATGGCTTGCGGGTGCAGGACATACGATTTGCAATACAACCTTCCCCTCCCTTCCTCTCTCAGTCCCTCGTTCAATCAGGAGATGGAGAGCAGCTAGTAAATGGAGAAATCACAGGAACGAGACCGTAACTGAAGCAAACTCTCCTATTCTTATTGCCTTTACAAAGGAAATACTTTCTTTTTCTCTTCCTTTTTTTTTCTTTTTTCCCCTAACAAATGAAGAGAAAGAATCGTTGATTAAACTTCGTTTTAACATTAATCTAACAAACTAAAATATATATTTTTTCGTGTTCAAGTTTATATATATATATAACAAATATAGTAATTATATTATATGTACTTTATATAAATGAAATGTATAAAATATTTCCAAAAATATAATTGTGACTTTTGTAACATTAGAAGCAATTGCATACGATGCATTTCTACGAACTTTATCAGAATATGGTATTTTTTTATTTTGTATTATGTTGGATGAATCAAGGGAGAGTTTCTTGGTAAGGGTGAACATCTGAAAGTCTAGAAGCACACACGTCATATGGTCCAGACTATAACTCGTAACGTTTCTATTTTATTCCAAACTATTATACCGCATAACATTGGATTCGGTTCGCTGCCCTGGGCTAGTTCGACTCAGCTTGAGATTGATGGCACTAGGAGATATAGAGCAGCAAACATACAAACTCGTATACACATGTGTACGAACATATATAGTATATATATTTATAATATAATTCAGAAGTTTCAACACATGTCGAGTATATATAATAAATAATATTAAATATACAATAAATATAATTAAAATCCTTGATAAAAAGAGTAACGTTATTCATAACATTTCAAGGATGTGATAAAGTAGATAAAATATATTAAATATTTGTAAAAAAAGAAAGAAACAAAAATTGAAAATAAGTTAAATAATAGTTATCCGTACGCGAAAGCAATTTGTTTCTTGACATTTCAATTTAATTTTGTTAGACAATTATAAGAATCCCAAAGCAAAGAAAAATCGAGTGTCCAGTAGTAGATTCTACGCTACTAACGACAATCCAGATCCAGAAAGCAAAGCGTATCTCTAACAAGGCAATAAAAAGAAAAATAAATCGTCCCGTTGTTCTTTCAGGAACGTTTCTCACGCGTGTCATAACCGCTTGTATGTTGCTATTCGTCCAATCATACCGCTATTAATCACAAACCTTTTTCCCTTTGACTATGTAGTATCTTCAAAAAAAGAATAATTTACAAAAGAAAAAGGATCGTCGTAGAAAATGAGAGAGAGAGAGAGAGAGAGATAAAGCTAAGCGATAAGAGAGTTCTGTCAAGCATAGATGCAACGGGATGCATTTATCGTAGACGCGTGTGTCTTCTCCCTTCGTTCTAATTTCCGCGATGATCGAGACACGTGTCGTACGGGTTGCTGCACAATGCCGCTCCGAGTTTTGCACATTATGACACAAACGTCGCGGCACGTGGCATTAAATTTTCGGAAGGGTGACTGAAACGATGGGAATAGTAGGAGTGGTAGTGATGGTGGTAGGGGTAGTGGTAGGGGTAGTGGTCAGAAACGGACGAACCAGTGGGTGATTAATGATAGTCGCAAGGGTGGCAGCTAGTAGTCACGGGACGAATACTTCCAACACGTAACGTATACCTTCTCTCCCTATAGTAGCGTATAAAACGAAAGAGTACACGGATTCCGAGGAAGAAAGAGGATCGGGGAAAAAGGAAAAAAGGGGAATGGGTGGGATAGTTAGTAAGGGTAAAGCGTGTGTGTGGTGGGAGAAAAGAACAACGTATGTTTCTGTAATGCTAGAACGAGTACGAGTACGAATACGAATACGAGTACGAGAGAGAGAGAGAGGGAGAGAAAGATACAATGATAAAGAGAAAGAGGAGAGAAAAGAGGAGTGCTCTCGATTTGACCCGCCAATTCAGCATCAGCCATACGGCCACTCAACCGCAAATCGAATTCTAGCCTTAGGGCAGAATAAAATCGACCTCGTGTGTTGTAGGTCCACCTCCTTCACCTCCACCTACACCTACACCTCCACCTCCAGCCATACACATTTCTTTTTAGAAAGAGAAAAAGAGTGAGAGAGGGAGAGATAGTCTACTGTGCACCTTCGGGCTGATTCGCATTTAACCGACACACACGGTAAGACATTACTCGCGAGGGACACGTTTATTCGACGCTCGGAGAGTTCTTCCACTTGACTTTAGGGTTCCTCTGGACGAGCATTCAATTTTAATGGACCTACCAGAAAACCTCAAATGGGATAATATTACTCCACGAATAATAATAATAATTTCATATCTTTTGTCTTGTTGAATACAATAAGTTTTTTTGCTTATGACCATTAACAATGAACTTCTTATTCGTTAATAGCATTAATCTTATGTTTTTGGTTGGAAAACGATGTTGCTTACAACTGATTTAAGCTTAATGATCAATCGTGTTATCTTCTAATATTAATCCGTATGATTTTTATCATAATTATTCTTACGTATGTCCACGACAAATCATTCCTACAAAATGTATTCTTAATGAACGTCTAATTATCAAAATGTATGGTCAAGGGGGGGGGTAATGATTTTAAACAAAATTATTTGATAGTGAATATTATAGCAAGTTTTTATGTATATTCTTATTAAATATAATTATATCGTTACTTAAAATTATATATATATATATATAGATCTAAAGTGGATATTTTTGACGATAGATTCATAGAGAACGGATATAAAGTCGTTCGACCAGCCATGTAATAAAAGACGCTAATCGTTTGTAAGATTAAGGGAAACGATCCTTCGGAAGACGAAGTTTCAGTTCGTCGTTAAGGCAAACCGCTTTCCTTATTACCGAGAAAATTGTTTGTACGAGAGGAAGAAAGAGAGAGAGATAGAGAATGGGTTTGGGCTCGTCCTAAATTTACCGATCGTATCTCTATCATTTACGAGCAAAGGGAGAAGAAGAATAGAGAGAGAGAGAGAGAGAGAGAGAGAAGCGGCTTTTCACGACCATAAGGGAAGTTTCTGTCCGTTGAGATCTCAGTAAAGTACGTTACGATTCCAGCTTCCGCCGGATATTCCGTCGCGGATGTGTCGTTTCGCGTTATCATTCTCTACTTTATTACGTGCACGAGAGTCCCTCCTCGTGTCATGGTTGTTCCTTCTATCTCTATCCCTTTCACCCTCTGTATTCGTCTCTGTCTTTCACGTATCCACCATCCTTTCCCACCCTTTCCTCCCACTTCCTATCCTTTCTCTTTCTATTTCTCTGTTCCACGTTGTTGAGTAGTGTTTGTAGGTGAGCACAATCGTGGATCCTGGCCCTACGAATCCGTTCGTTCCGCCTCTGGTGCACGTACTGTTCGGTTCTGGGAAACCTGATTTATAGACGCATAGATATAGTATACTCCTAGCCAGTTCGCTGGCGGCTCGTGTACTTTGCTAGGGTTATTGTTGCGTTAACTGTTATGAGGACTGGTTGGAACTTGCTCTTGTAACCACTGGATAAAGGTGGTGGACGTTGCACACACATATGCATAGGTAGAGAAGGAAAAGTGAGGAGGGGGTGAATGGGGATGAGAGAACTTATTGTTAAGAACTTGTCACTGTGGAAATATGTGAGTTCCATTTTCTATGTCACCAAGTCCTCTTCGTCTTGTTTCCATTTTCTCTATGTTATAGAATCAATTTCAACTAACACAAACTCTTGCATATTTTTCTTATCATAGATTGTAAATGCAATTAAGGATGTTACATCAATTTGTCTTTATTCAATTAAAAGAAATCTAAGGTGACAAACAATTAGATTATTATTGAATACTTGTTTAAATAAGAAAGATAACAGTAATTTATTTGTGAACGTCATTCGAATAAATTTAATTATAATGAACAAGTGATTGCTTTTCGGTGTTTAAAAGAAAAAGAAACGATAGAAGATGAAAGGAGAGGAGGAGGAGGAGGTATTTTTATTTGTTAAAAAGCTAAATCGATTCGGCGCCCTTTACGAGTCTCTCGCGTCGTACTTTGAAGTAGAAATTTCGTTATTCTTACTTCAAAGCATCCTCGAAAATAGATGGAACGTTGTTAATCGTCGTAAAACACGGTATCATCATCAACGTTAAAGGATGCACACAAAACGAGAGTAAAATATGTTATTTGACGTTGTCGAGGATATCAAGGAAAGGTATAATACGGTATGATACTGATTGAAAATTATTTTTTGGTACGAAGATGTATCGATAATGTAAAAAAAAAATACATTTGTAATATTCGATCTCGAAAACAAAAAATCGAAATATTTGTTATTTTCGTGTAATTCATTTTTTGTTTTTTTTTCTTTTTTTTTTTTTTTTTTTTTTATACAGTTCCACCAGACATTTTGGACGACGAAACAAGTACGGACATGGTCGTGCGAGAAGGAAACGACGTGACATTACGATGTTCAGCAACGGGTTCACCAGCACCGAACATTACCTGGCGTCGTGAGGATGGTCAACAAATTCTCCTCGGTAATGGAGGGAAAGGTCAGTTTAACGATTTATTTCTTCGCAAACAAACGTAATTAACTTGTTTTTAGACAATGTCTAGATGATGAATTTTCTTTAATTAAAGATTATTCTATCTCTATTTTAATGTTATCGTTCCAAGTAATTTCAATTCTGAAAATGTTGCTTGTAAAAATGAATATATTTTTCTTAACTCTTTCTATCTCTCTCTCTCTCTCTCTTATATATATATATTATTTATTTCAAAGTAAAATGACGTAAATCCTTTCATCCAACGAGGAAGATACTAAAACTGATAGTTTAATATATCACAAATAAGTCAGTAGATAAATAATTAATGTTTCTTACGTCTATCTGACGGGATTAATTAAAATACTGAAGCTTAGGTATTGGGGATTATGAAATGTTTAAAAGAAAAATAGAACGAGATAAGAGAGATAATACTTATCGATCTTCATTTATTGTTAGAGCTGACTTCTTATAATTAACTAAAAGTGATTTGAAGAAGTCTTTTTGTAATGCCTAACAAAAACATACAAACGAGTAGAAGATCAAACTGAAAGTTTCATTTGTTAAGTGCAAAATAAACAAGAATATAATTCTTTCTCTGTCTCACTCTCTCTCTTTATTTCTCTTTTTGAAGGATAATCCTAAGATGGTTCAGTTTTTTTTCCATATTGTGGAAACCACGATAGTGTTTGTTTCAGACCATTTGGTGTTTCAGTAAAATACAAATTGTAACGTGCTTGCAGTGTTTCCCATTAAAAAGACTATTTTTAGTTGCCATATTTTTTCTATTCCTTCCGGCAATTTCGTTCAGATATTGCAATTTATTTTCTTTTTCGACAATTTTTTTTTAATATTCCCATCAGACTAATATTGCACAGTGATGACAGATTTATAGATTTTTTTGGTTCCTGTAATACATATATATTCAATGATAATTAATAAATAGTCGGAACTTCAAACCTAAATATGATATTGCTATTAATTAATTTCTATTGATTTAAAAAAAAAGAAAAAATTTTACAAGAAAGATTTCTTAAACATACACATAGGAATAATCTTTTCAAGTTTTGGTTTTAAGTTACATTTAATTCAATTTCAAATAAATCATGTCTCTCTCAGTGAAGAGTGTATTATCTGTGAAAGGGACCTAACTAAACCTTTATCGCTTGTTATGCATAAATTATGCTTCTACTATTTGTACGATAGTAGTTCTATAAGTACTATACAAAATATAGAACACGGTGAAATACAAAATTTATTGACGTATTCGGATTTAAAATTAGTTTGTAATACGTTAGCATTTAAATCACTGAGAATAATCATAAGAGAAATCTATTAAAATCGTTTGCTAAAGAAAATAACAGACATTATTTTAAAAGACTATAATTAAAAGAGAAGAGACGAGAAAAGACAATTTCATTTCGGCTATGAGATATTCAAATACTCTTGTATATTGCAACGACAAGATTAAGGATTATTTATACTTAAGAGAATAATGCAAATATAGAGCTACGAAACTTCCATTTTTATTTTTTTCCATTATTTCGTATATAATAGAATATTTTTGAGGATTGAATTTATAAATACAAATATTCACCTTTTAATTGGGTCAGAGAAAGAACAAAAAGAAAGAAAAAATTAGAAAAAGATTAATCAGAAATAAGAATTATTATAATCCATGGAAATGCAAATAGAATATAGGTTTAAATACATAATTACGTTTTGTTAAGTACTGAAATATCTGTTTAATTGATCCGTAATTTTATAATTCATTGAATGAGATAGGAATATTCGGTCACGTTAAACAAAAAAAAACATAATCTAATTTACTGTGTATCTCGGTCTTTAAATATAAGATGATATAATTTGAGTATTCACCTGCATAATACAAATAAACGAAACATCGTTCCTGGTATGAAAAATTACAAATTTACATCGGGACAACAGGCAGTATTCCTGTTCCGAAAGTTTTATCTTTTTGCAAGCAACTAGTTTGAAATATTACAACCCATCTCTCGTGTATAAAACCATATCAGTTGAAACCATTTGTTTTTTTTTTTCTTTTACAAACATTGGTTCACATTAAATGACGTGAATGTCGTAAAACATTATCGTGTAAAATCTATTTATCTATTTTCAATATTTTTCTATATCTCTCCCACGCAATTTTTTGTCTTATACATTAAAAAAAGAAAAACGTATTATTTAACAATTTCACATTTCAAATTGTCCGACAGACATGTCCGACTAAAATTTCGGGATTTCGTTAGAATCGAATAATTTCATCTAAGCTAAAACTATTATTTTAAATAAAGAACGTGAGATACCCGACGACGATGATACGTTCGTTAAACAGTGAAAAGGTGAACAGAAAAGGTCCGTCCAGTGATGGTAGTAGCCTCATTGCAGTTATATCGGTCCCATGGAGTTTCTCTCAAGAGAGTAAATATACTACGTTTTAGAGTAAGGGCCAAGGGTTAGAGGAAGGTAATACGTTCCTAGAGACGGGAAGATCTTCTATATTTGCATTGAAATTGGCAAACACGAGAAGAGAAAACGAGAGAGGGAGAAGGAGAAAGAGAGAGAGGTAGGTGGGTGGTAGGTAGGGTGGGAAGGGAGAAGGGCAGGGGTAGGGGGAGGGGGAAGGGAAGAAGAGAAGAATAGTGCGAGTGCGAGTTGGCTCTCACGTGCACAGGATTCCGGTCTAAGCAACAATGAATAACCGGTAGTGCAATCTTAAGCCGTGGTTAACCGTATCCGCGCTTTTAGTTCATTACAACTTTAATCCGTGTAGTCGGCATTTCGAATCGAAGTATCATTTCGAGACGTGTCGCATACAAAGTAAGTTGGAAGTATTGAAAAACTATTAAGGGGGTTCGTGAATTTAAACGGGAAATCAAATATTTATTCATTTGTACGTGATCAAGATTTAACGCGAATTTGGAAGACGTTCGTTTAAAAATAAAATGAAGATTCGTTTGTTAAAAAAAAAAAAAAATAGAAAGAAAGAAATCATTAAACGAGTTTAACAACGAGTCATTATTATATTTTCTTATTTGGATAATCTCATAATTTGTATATATATTCATATCGAAAAGTATTTAATATTTTGATATTTTTTCGTTCTTACAAAACGAATAAAAATTATTCGAGGATAAAAACTAAGGTTTGTTATTGTATTTTTTAAATTGAAATTTTTTCTACAAGCGAAACAACGAATAATAATAAATTGTTCGATGACTATGCTCATTGTTCGAGTATTGTCATATTCGCCTTGTCGTCGTTATTATCGTAACAACCCCCGTTATTTGTCATCAAACATCGATCGACAATAGCGTGGGAGAAAGAGCATTGTTGTTGCGAACCTTGTTGTGTTGTCCCATAGAGTCATAAGTAATCAGCATCCGTTAAAGCGAACAACACGTAGGAGAACTCTGGTGCTGAGCCAACTCGCTCCGGCCTTTCCTTAGATTCTCTCGCATAGCTTTCATAAGCGTGTATTCAACAATATTTAGCTTGTTAGAAACGTGCAAATATTCCATAGGATTTAATTGTGGTTTTACGCTTGGACGTAACAGACAGCCTCAACGTCCGAATAAGTAAACCAAATTTGCCTTTGTATATATATATATATATGCAAGGGTAGCATCAAAACTGTGTTATCGAAGTTAACGAGTCACTTTAAATTGGCTGTTTTGAATCGGAAAGTCTACGGTTAACTATGGAAGAAAAATGAGACACAATTTTCTCTCACTCTTTATAACGAGCTACGACTAGAAACAAGAAAATGATCAATTCTTTTTACAGTTACGAGCCGGCTGAATGATAAATTGAAACGAATTTCAAGAAGAAGAAGAAGAAGAAAGAAGAAAAATGAAAAAAAAAACGATCGATAGTAATCCCCCTCCCCCCATCATAGTCGTGTAATATTGTCTTCGATTTTTATTTTTTCAGCTATGACCGTGGAAGGGGCTCATTTCAATATTACCAAAGTAAATCGACTGCACATGGGCTCGTATCTATGCATCGCGACCAATGGAATACCTCCGTCAGTCAGTAAAAGAATCACGCTGATCGTTCACTGTACGTAATTATCAATTGTCTTTTTTCTTACAAATTCATTTACATTTTATTAACTCGCATTAATCGTAAAATTAAAATGAGAGATTTCTTTATTGGAATAATACCATAGAGAGTTTTCGTTAATCCTTTTTATAATAGACACAATGAATTGTTTTTTTAGTTCCACCAATGATTACTGTACCAAATCAATTGGTAGGAGCTCAGGAAGGACAACTAATGACGTTGGAATGTCTCTCGGAAGCTTATCCGAAATCTATTAATTATTGGACAAGAGATAATGACGAAATTGTACCTCAAGGTAACAGAATCCTTTTTTTTTATGTTTAATTATAGAAATTAAATGAGAAAATGTCTGAATTTTTGTAGGTTTTGTTTATTGCCAAGATTTGTTGTTGTTGTTGTTGTTGTTGCTGTTGTTGTTGGTAGGAAAAACGTAGTAAATATTTTCTTTTAGTACGCGAAGAAATAATGAACCCATTCCTCCCTTATATATAACGAAAGCTTTATGTCGAACGTATAAACACGAACGCGTACATATATATATATATATATATATATATATATATATATATATATATATATATATATATTGTATATGGCCAGTGTAAACGACTTTACTTTGCTTTATGTTTCGTCCATAAAAACCTGCTACACTTTACTACGTCAAATCTTCATCTTTTCTTTTTTTTTCTTTTAAAACTCCAACAATTTTTTTCCACATTACCGTTGATTCGTTTGATAATCTTTCACGAAAATTCATATATATATATTATCCTATTTATATTATTTCTCATTAATTATTTCGTAATTATTTCGTTTATAATATAATCGTATGAAATAATTGTTTCGAATAATCATTCAATGTTTCGATAGTTTTTGTTTACACAAAAGTAATTTGAAAACTAATTATAATTATATTTTCCTGTAACTTCAATCTATCATATGTATCAAATGAAGAAAATTTTGCTGTTCGCTTATACATACATTTATGCATACATGCTTGTGCACGCGCATATTAATATAGTCTATACTAATAAATTACTTCGAAAGTCGATCGATTGTTTGCTAAGGGGGATTACTCGAGATCTTAAAACAAGTTGAAATCTTCGTTCCAATAATAATTAATCTACTTTTATCCGTAGAATATCGATCAATTAAGTAAAATTTATATAGGTAACATCAAATGAAAAGTTTGGTTTTAAGTTCTAAAGATATATATATATTACCTACAGTTTTTAATTTAAACAGAATTTCGTATTAATTAATAATAGTCAATTTTAACATACTATAAATTACAATCCAAAATGTTCTTTGACATTCTAATGAATTATAATCGTTACATCTCGATTGTTATTTGTGTGTGTGTGTGTGTGTGTATGCATTTTGTAAAATCGGATGACAAGAGAAAATAGTAAAACTTTGAAATCTTAAAAAAAAACAAAAAAAACAAAAAACAGGACGTTAGATATGCGAATTATCAATTGGTATATTTAAACAGACAAACTCCGACGAATTCTAATATTTTTCCTCTCTCTTTTACTTTCCCACGACAGTTTACTCGAACAGAATTAACCTTTGAATAATACATGCGAATCTAACAGGACGTTAAAGTTATAACATCATTTTATCTGGCATTTATGAGAAAGACCGAGGACACGAGTACGTATAGTCTGTATATAAGAGTAGAAACGTTGTATCCTTTCTCTCCCCTTTCACGATTTTCCTTGCATAGCGTTTATTACAACGCTATTGTAGATGATATTTGCATCTGTATTGAAACCAATAACGTCACGCACAATGCCAGATTTTGATCCGACAATCGTGTTAGTACGCTGACTATAACCTTTTTTCTAATCTTTTTATATCCTAATGGAAATAATAATATGTCGTTAGTGCTATTCTTTTTTTAAAAAATGTATCTGCCGGTTTTTTGAAAAGCGTAATTCGTATAGACGAAATATTATTTTTATAATATTATCATTACAACAATAAAACTAGATACTTTTATTATCTCAAAAACTTATAGAATTTATTGAAAAATGTCTCAAGGTTTGATATTTTATTCTAAAATAGGTGAACGTTGGCACGATCAAGAGAGAGATATCGTTATGACGGAAGCTTTAACGTTAACATTTCTCGTACTCGAATTGTATTGTTTCGGAAATCGAATTGCTCGCATCGGTGCACATTTAAATACAACGAATGTCGATACTTGAATAATTCGAATTGAGGTATGTACCTAGGTATATGTATACGAGAAGCAAAAGAATGAACTATGACAAAAATTTCTCTCTCTCTCTCTCTCTCTCTATAGAATTTTTCCATTTTCTCTTAAACGGCCCAACCAATTGCGAAGTTTGTATTTATATTGTTTTTTATTTTTTTTTTATTTTTTTTTTTTTCGGGAGTTACAGATTCGTTGTAGCATAGAATTTCAGAACTAGACGAGGCTAGGATCATTCCACGATGGCAGCGGACTCGTTTCATTCGAATTGCTCATCGACCCTTTCCCGTTACCTATATATATATATATAGCTTTCGTTTCTTCGATCAATTTCCATTTATTTTCTAATTGAAAGCATCGCACTATGCGCTACGATATTTTCGCTTAAAGCGAGAATGAAAAAGGTTTCTCCTTTTTTTATTCTTCTTTTCTTTACGTTTTATTTTATTTCTCAAAAAAAGAAAAGATACTTTCGATCCAAGAATCTAACAGCTTTTATTTATAATTTAGACAAAAAGTTTCTCTATGATAAAATTTGTCCTAATTTTCTCGTTGTCTATTATTTTCCTTGAGAAATTCATTCTTTAAAAGTATATATATATATATATATGTGTGTGTGGGTGTGTATTATTCAGCTTCGTAGTTAATTTCTCAAAGGAACAAAAACTCTTAGAAGGAAAAATCATCTAATTGTTGACGTCGATTAAAACATTCTTTTGAAAAAATTTCTTTTGACGTTCGTTCTTTAAATTCGCAACTAAATGGGGATAATATTACTATTTTACGAACACGTTTCTATCTTATTCTAAGATAAATTCTAAACTAGACGAAATATGAAATCCTTAGGAGAACGAAGAAGGACGTCGGAAATGTCTCTGAATGGTGTCGATCTAAACAGAAATCACGTTAGCTTAGAAGGCCGTGTATAGAATACTAAGTTAGATCGAGATTTACGACGAACAAGTCGAGGAATCTGTTAAACTGATTGAACTATTGTTACGATCCTTTAACGTTTTCTCCAATTTCTCAAGTGCTTTTTGTCCAATTTTAGCTATTCTATTACCTATGCATCTACGTTTTTCATCTCTTTTCAACTATCACACAATAGATGCGACTTACAAGCTAAATTTCTTGCAAGAGTTTAGATAAAATATTATTTTTTAATGTGCACACAGAGTTAAGTATACTTATGTGTAATATTAAGTTTTAATTTAACTTTAATATTTTTATTATTTCAAAAAGATAATTTCATTTCGTTAGATATTTCTTTTTTTCAAATAGATCGCAAAAGTTAAACAAGAAGGAAACTAGAATGCATGCATGCATGCTTGCGCGCTGCCGTATGTGCGCATGTGTATGAGTGTGTTTTTTAAAAAATGATAGAGAGAAAGAAGCCCTTTGTTTAAATATCAGTGCGACCTTTATTGTCGTGCGATTTAAAATCTCATAAAAAAGGGTAGAAAGATAAAGAATGAAAGAACTCTTGCGTATGATTTTTTTCATATCATTACGAGGAACAAATTTGCATACCGTCATTAAAAAGATCTCAATTATTATCGTTGCATTATTATCGAGTAAAATATTTGTAATGATTTGATTCGATATCGTTCTCTACAAAAAGTCACATTATATACATTTTTCGAAAGATTATTTTAAATGGTTGAATTAATATATTAGAAGATATAATGATAGAAAATATATATGAATGTTAAGTGTCAGGAACACTATGCATAATAATTGTTTTCATCGGTCGATACTTTTATTTCAGGAGGAAAATACGAGCCGGTCTTATTAGACAACACCTATAGAGTTCACATGAAGTTAATTATACACTCGGTGAGCACTAAAGATTATGGTTCATACAAGTGCGTTTCAAGGAATTCATTGGGTGACACCGATGGAAGTATCAGTGTATACGGTAAGTAAAGAAAATTTTTATAAGACTCTTTAGTCAACTAATTAATTAAAAATGAATCCGTCCAAGTTTTACAAATGAAAGAATAATAAAGGTGTATGTAACGTGCAAAAGAAAACGAAAAAGAAAAGGAAAAAAAAAGGTATATAAAGAAAAAGTGATTAATTGAAAAGCCCTAAATTATTAAGAAAGAAATTCATTTTGACATCGTAGAAATCTCGTTGGAAAAATCGTTTCATGAAGAAATTGAAGAACAAACGAATTCTATTTTAAAAGGGTATTATTTCGTTCCAATTAACGAAAAGTCGCGTATTCAAAATCTCAACTTGGAAACTTGTTGTATACTTACGTTAGTTATTTCAGCGCGTATAGTTTGTGATAGTTTCTCGCAAGTGACAGGTGGAGAATTTAGCTAGTTCTAGTCGGGTCTCTCGGAAAAAAAAGGAAAGAAATAAAGGTGTCAAAGTGTGTACACCTTCGTTCGAAAATGTTTGCACTCATAAACTCAAAGATAACAAGGAGTTAAATAATGCATAAAACTAGGCCGAGAGTTTAATCTTATCTCAGGATGTAAACTACGCGAATTTTTATACTTTTGGTCATACGTTTCCTTTATTTATTATTGTACGTGTAAATAATATATACGTACAAGACGGGCCATTTAAATGGGAAGAAAAAAAGAAATCCTTTAAAAGAAAATGATTTTATAGAAAGTTCTTATTTCATTCGTTGTTGTCGTTCTTTATTTTACTCTAAAAAAAAATAAAAAATATATCACATAAATATGTATGTAATTTTTTTTGTTAAGCTTACAAGCGAACGAAACGAAAGTTTCGAGTGTTTTCGCGTTTAAATTTGATCGCGTTTTAAACATATTTTAATACGTATAAGGTAATAAAAAGCAATATTATCATCTAACCGTAAACTCTCGATTATAAATTCGTATATACGCGATCGACAAAAACCAATAATTAATTATGAACCACAAATTTACGTATGCACGTATAGTAGATTACTTTTTGTAATTATTTCGTTTCTTGCGCCTTCCAGCGATACCCTCCGGTTCTGGTTCCAATAGCAACACAGGCAATGATACAAAGTACAAAGGTAAAGTACTTTTTATCGTAGGTCGTAAATCTTTGAGTTCGTTGTTCTCTCTACGTTCTTTCACTCTGCTTCCTCCTTATTCTTTGTTCCATTCTATATATATATATATATTTATTTTTTTTCCTCTTTTTCTTCTTCTAATTTTTTTTTTTGGCTTTAACTTGGTTTTACCTTGGCCCGTTTTATTCACCCGTCCGTTCTCACAACCTTTTTTTTTCCTTTTCTCTCACGTTCGTCGTACTTCGTTATCTTTTTTTTTTCCCCGTCTTCTTTTCCATTCTTTCATAGTGCTTTCTCTCTCTCTCTCTCTCCCTCTCTTTCTCTTTTTTAGTTTTTCAATGTAGAGAACCACCAAAATAAACGTACATTTCACAAACACATACATATAGATCGTCGATTCTATTATTTTCTCGAAGTACTGCAAATTGATATCAATAGATAAGTACTTTATTTATGTTAGATATGCGAATCGAACATCGATCGGCACAAATTTCAATTTCTCTCTCTCTCTCTCTCTCTCTCCCTCTGGTTTTTTATTACTAGCATTGTGTCGAGTGGTACTTGTCGAATGATGCCGCGGCGCGCGCGTAACGCGTGCTTGCATTGAATCAACGGGTCGCTGCTTAATTAGATCAAGCACGTACATAGTTTGTGATTCCTGATATACTTTCTCTTTCTCTCTCCCTCTCCCTCTACCTTTCCCCATTTCTCAATTTTTTACCTTTTATTATCCATATTTTCCTTCTATTTCATAGTAAATATACCTTGTACGTAAAACTAAAAGAAAGAAGAAGAAAAAAAAACACAAATCGCACAAATCGTTCAACGATGGATGCAAAATCATTAATAAGCTGAAATTTGTTTTTTTCAAGGAGTAAAACGCTAATAATTTGTTCATATAAATATATATTTGAAAATATTCCCAATCTTGACGTAATAGAAATCACGTAATAATATTTTAAACGAAATATTTCTATTTTGTTTTTCTTTTTACTTTTTTCCGGTGCGAAATTTTGTTTTTTTTTCTTTTTTGATCGTCGACTAAAGCTTTAAGGTCTTTTAAACCCTGCCTCTTCTCCGGTGCTTCAAATCGTATCGTTTCTCTCTCTCTCACTCACTCACTAACTCACTCCCTTCATTTCCCGCCCTCGCTTTCTCGCTTTTTGAGTTTAAAAGGTGAATGAATAGAAAAGTCGAGTCATGTCGGAGGTTCGTAAATCGACCTTCTCTCGTTTGCTCGATAGTTATTCAACCGAAGGTGGTACAAAAGTCGATGCTTCGCAGAGACACGCGTTCCAGAAAGTTAAAGAAATAGAAAAATGGTATAAAAAGAGAGAGAAAGTATATATGTGAGTATGTATGATGTGTGAGAGAGAGAGAGAGAGAGAGAGAGAGAGAGAGAGAGAGAAAAGGAAAAAGTCTATAGAGGAATCACAAGCAGCAGCAACAGCAGCAGCAGCAGCAGACTCATAGCAATCGTAGTAAAGCCGAGATAGTAAGTATATCGCAAGATAGACGTTTAGAGAAACGACAGTTTGAGAAAAAGCTCTGTGCTACGAATGAACAAGATTTTGGCCTCCCAATTCTGTATTTTCAATAGATCGTCGGTGTACGTAGGTGTATATGTAAGGTACTTCTTCCCATCAATGACATTCGAGGAACAAGCGAAATTCTTTCTCACGCGTGCAATTCAAAATCTCGGACGTAAAGATACATTTTTGTAAATTCTCGTATGCTCTTCTACTGGTATATAATATAGTTTTCCGGGATTCTTTTTTATTATTATTTTTATATTTATTTCTATTTTTATTTTTATTATTATTTTTTTACGAGTAGGGGTATAGATATTTCATCAAGTTCGTGACACGCATGATATATATTCATTTATTCTGGTTTTGATTGTTCCCTCTCTGTTCTTTTTTTATTCTTCTTCTTTTTCTTTTTTTTTTTTATAAATTATTGACTAATAATTCATTGTACGGTACTCGTGCTATTCTAATATTGATTTGCTGATTATATCGGATTTTTTAGTTTCTTTTGTCTTTTTTTTTGTTTTTATTGTAATTTGATTTCGCAGCAACATTTTATGGAATAATTGTCTGTATCGTTAATATGTCGATGTAATTAATATTTATCGTCGATGGATAATAACAAATAGTTTCAAACGAAAATGAAAGATTGAAAATAATCGTATAGGATATCATCGAAATTGTAATGCCCAGATATCTCCGATATTATCCAATTACAATAATATTTATTTATTGATTTAAATTATCATTATTATTATTGGCGACAATTTCGTGTTACGTTTTCTATTTCTGCAGTTACAAATTATGTAATATAATTGACCATCAATTTTTTTCTTTTTAGATTCCATTTATCATAAAATATAATACGAATAACATTTAAACTTTCATTTCTTGATAAGGCAAGTTAAAATACAGTTTTATGAATATAACTGTTCATTATCATTAAAATAAATTAAATAAACATTTGCGATAAAAATTTCTCGTAAAAATTTAAATAATCAATTGATATACATATTAATCGACTCATACAATTATATTATAATTCTCACGTATAAATAAAAAATCTTCAATCTACAAATGAAATTAATAATAATGTTAGCTTAACACGCATTTAAATAATTAACATACTTACGAACTTATCGGATCATTAAATCATTCCCTCCCCCCCATTATCAGATTTTTCCGCGAACACGAAAAATTTTCGCCTTTAGCTTTGATTTTCCTTCGGTTTCGGGGGCCTCTCGTATCCTGAGTTTCGTTTTTTGTACCAAATTGCAAAGCAAAAGCTGAGTCAGTAAGAGAAGGTATTTTTCTCTATTCGCTAAATTTGAACTTCCGATGTTTATCTTTGTACCCTTTTCGTTAAAAAGTTATGTTACACGATAGAGAGAGAACACTTTTCATGTACTCTTACACACAAGCATTACATCTCCTCTTTCTCTCTTTACTATCACGAATGATGCAAAAGTTTAAATTATTTGTATATTTATTCATTACATAACATGTTTCGTTTAGTTTGTTCCTTTTTTACCTTTTTTTTTTTTTACGTTCCATATGTTCGCGTATAAATGTTTCCGTTTTTTTCCTGTTCTTTTTTCAAAGCCTAAAGTACATAAATGTCGAAAAGCAGAAAACTCGTCCCCGTGTTCCAAAATTAAACTTAAAAGGATAAGAGTGTAATACGCGTAAAATTTGCGAATATATAGTAAGGCTGGTAACAAAAATACACTGGCACCAAACTGACATTTAATTTGCTACTTTCTTTGAGGCTCGTTGTCATCGTTCCAAAGAGCTCTCCGCTCTTTTTCGTTCCGCTTTTTCTTTTCTTTTGAACCATTATCTTTTCTCCGTAGTAACTAGGTATACGCGTTTAAAATCTGATTGCGAGAGAAAAAGAAATAGATCGATTGATAAATAATTATATTCGTAATTATATACGTACATGTAAATTAATGAATACAAAGAAAGAAAAAAAAAGATTTATTTCGAATATTAAATTAAAAATAAAGAAAATAAAAAAGAACAAATTATACAAGGGAAAAGAAACAAAATGTGTGTGTGTGTGTGTGTGCAATATTGTATGCCGAATAAAACATATTTGAATGTTCTAAAATGAAGTCTTTTCAACATTTAACCAAATGAAAATCGTCCTAATTGATTAATGTAATGGTAACAAATTGACGAAAGGGAGAAAAAGAGAAAGAGAGAGAGAGAAGAGGAGGGTTGGAAAGGTGGCAACGTTTATTTGTATTTGCGACGAATTCGATTATCCCCACGGTATTTTTCTGCTGTTGTCTGTCCTAGCGGGTGCCATTTATATGCTAAATATGTCCGCGTTCGGTGCCACGAACGCGATGATTGGCTAAATTTATTATGTCGTCGGGACTGGGAAATATATTCCTATCCGTAGAACGCTATTTCCAATGAAATGACATGCTCCGAGAGTACAATGATGATGTACAAAACCAGTTTGAGTATTTTCATTTTTATATTCTTTTTTGTTTTCTCCTCTCCTAGTAGTCGTGGGGCGAGGGGAGGGTGGGAATCGAGTATTTTTTCTTTTTCCTTTTTTCTTACGAACGTTTCACGATTCACATCGAAAATTTCCTTTTTGTCCCCACCATTCCCCACCCTCCCACGCTTAATCTAAGTATAATGTAATACGTATGCATATTTTCGTGCATACGTGGTATTGTATATGTTTTTGATACGCAAGTTTGACATAAGTTTGAAAAATATTCGAGATGGTATTACGAAGAGAAGACGTTTCTTTTTTCTTTTTTCTTTCTTTTGTATTCTCTTTTTCTCTCTCTCTCTCTCTCTTTTTTTCTATCGTTCAACTGAGAATCTTACAATATGACAAAATATTTATGAATATTCTCTCTCGCTGGTGCTTCTAACACTTCCAATTCTTCGTCGATTTCTTTCTACGAATATAGATCCGATGACAAAATCCAAAATTTATTACTGCCACGCGACCGGTACATTCTCGCACTATTCTACTTTCCACGTATACGTGTGAGTGTGTATGCACGGAATCAGTCGGAAATCGATATATGCAAAATATTTTGATGCTAACAGATTGGGAAGCGACGTTGTGTACGATAGAAGATTTATAGACCCGGTTTTGTTGTTACGGGTCAATTTTATTTTACCCTATCCCCCCTTTGGAGAGAGGTAGCAGTTCGTTGAAAATATACGCGCGTGAAGAATTCACAACAAGTGTATTGTAATTTTATATTTGAAAGTATAGAGGAAGGCAATACGAAGGATTGTCCGAATGATGATTTTTAATAATTCGTAAATAATTTCATTTCACGTTTACGTGTGTGTGTATATATATATATATATATATTACGCGACAAATATAAATTCTAATTATATCGATCAATCTCTCAATTCGTTTACGAAATTTTGCACGAATTATTAGAGTGAAAATTGAAATCAACAATATTAGAGTATTAAACAACCGTTCGATATCTGCATAATATAAAATAGTTTTATTTAACTACAACGATGATATTATTTCAATGTACTTTTCCTATCACGTAACATATGATATATAATATATGTTATATAATAATATATGAATCATTTCGAGAAAAGGGAAGAAGAAAAGAAAACAATTATTTGAATTTAAAAGTATATATATATATATATTGTGTCAAGAAAAATAATGGCGTTTAGTAGTTCTATCATACCAAAGTAAAAAGACTTTAATTAGTTCAGTGGAATTTAATTAACTGACAAATACGCGCGACCAAGAAGCTGTGAAATTTAAGCTTTGAAGAGAGAGTCTTCGTTTGCTTGGAAGAATCTTAGAGTCGTAAGAAGAAGACAATACCGATAATTGTACGATTCAAATGAATAACAATGTTGCGTCCGTCAAAGTTGCCATTAAAATTTATTACCGGAATTTCATTTTGGTCTTACTTTGTGTTACGAAAAATTAGATTGTACAAAATAAACAAATTTATAAATTGTATTCTATGTAGATTGGAAACGACTACTCTTTCGTCAAAAATTCCATTTAGACGACCGATGTACAACAGTGTGACCTAAAATTTATTTGAATAAATGAGATTCCAACAGAATGATAATTAAAATTTCGCAGCATCTATAAATTTCTAGAAAGTTTAACATCGACAAAACGACAATTAATCGTTAATATTTTTATATTCTCATTCATTCATCTCCACGTTATATTATTATTATTAAATCAAATGAAAATTTCATATACCAACTATACAGCACGAAAATGTAGTAATTTTCCCATACAGTAACAGTAGCAATCGTTAATTTTTCCTTAAATAAACGATAAAAGCAGAATATTAGATTGTTTACTTGTTTGCAGGAAAACTGAGGCAAAATTCTGGAAACAATATTCTCGAGGGTAACCAAGATATGTTAAAGGAACGAGGTATGTAAAATTACATACTATGAAATATCTTTTGTTAAGATGATAATAATACTATTTGTAAAAATAATAATGATCGATAATTAAACAAAAAATTTGCTAAAATATTTGTAGATCTGAAACTTCGTAGCCGGAATAAGAATGGCGATGTGACCGATGATTATGAAGATTCGAGCTCGACGAGGAAGAAAAGTTCAGAACTTTTATTAATAGTAACCATTATACTGATCTTGTGCCTGAACCATCGTCTACCATTTAGGACACTTAATCCTGCTTGAAAGTCATGTCACAGAATTACCGGTCAGCAGCATAATATTATCGAACAGTTATGGCGATTTTTCTTAAATCGCGTTAAAAACAACTTGGCGAATAACCTTGTCAAAATTTATCGCTCAGGGACTTTCATTCAAGATTGATGCTGACCAACCACACGCAATCTCGCTTTGTATTATAATGTAATAATTATTAAGAATGTATAGAGGAGACGACGAGTATAACGATAATGGGTGTGGAATGCATTTTCTTCGTCGAGTTTAAACAACTCTCAATTTGTTGTTGTTCTCACTTTTATCGAGATCTCACAAAGTTTATTCGTTAAAAGGAAAAACGACCGAAGGTTTTTCTGGAAGATAGGATCCTTCCCAACAACAGCTACTCGACTTCCATCAGTTTCCTGTTTTTCCGTGCTCGTCCTTTTTAAACAATCTCCTTCTTCTTCTTTTTTTTTTCTTTCTTATTTTCTTTCTTCTTTCTCTACCTTTCGAAATTTCGAGAGACGATTCTTCAGAAAAATACAACACTCAATCGATAGCAGCAGCTAGAGCATGGAAGGATGTTTGATCGAGGGAAGGATGTTATTATCTTTCGAAAAATAAAGTAAGAAAGAAAAAAATCCGGAAATTGTATATTCTAAAGTTGATTCTCGACTAAACACCCAGCAGGTTCCTTGAAAGAAAGAAAGAATTTTTATTATATCGTACGAGTATTTAATAACGCGCAGTTACGTAGTAGGATATTATTATTATTACGAATGATCTTAAATTATTCTAAATGAAGTGTTTTTTTTTAGAAAAAGATTAAAATGAAAAAAACCGAGGAAAATAATCAATCGGCTTTAGTTAAAGTGAACAAAAAAAAACCTTTCTAAAGTAGTCTACAATATCCCATATAAATTACTCGACTGCAATATCAGAAATACAACTGCCAGTGTAACTGCATTCTAATTATTCTAATTAATTAATCGAATGGATATCATCGTAATATTAAAGAACATTCGATTAATATCATTCATTTTATATATGAAAGAACAAATATTGCGTCAGAATTTGAATGAAAATAAATCTGATCTAATGACTTATAGAAAAAAAGATGTATTGTAAAGAGAAAATTAAAAAGATTATTATCAAGGACTATGATTAATTTATCGACTTTTCGTGATAATTGATAAGAAGAAAAGCGATATAAGCATGAAATACATTGTGTATAGATCATATCTAATAATGTATTAATTAGCGATTGTACACGATACTCGAATTATACAAATCAATGCTTTTAATCTCCTACGAAATATCTCAGACACATTAGTTTTATTTCACCAAAATGAATAAGAGGTTGTTCTCTAGTCGATACAATTAAAGAAATATTGAAAGACTGTACGAGGACATGCATATTTCTTTTTATTATTATTTTTCTTTAAATAAATGTGCCCTTTTTAATCATTTCGATGATCAATTACTGACACTTCGTGTGAACACACACACACACACACATACACGTACACAAAAAAATGGATACAAGTGTTGTATATATTAGAGTAAGTGAATATTGTCATAATTAACGTGAAAATGTGCTAATAATTTAGGAAAAATGAGACGTTCTTTACGATGTGAGCCATTTTGAGAATATTAATTCTACTATTTATTTTTTTAATTACTTTTTCGTATATATATATATATAAAGCATTATTATTGAATGTAATAAATTTCAAATATATCAAAAATTGTATTACAATAAGTATGTATGATATATCGGAAAACAAAACGGCTCATTCATACAGAATTGCTCGATAACGTGAAATTTTTCAACGTTTTGTATATAAATAAAATAAACACGAAATGCGTGTATATGTGCTTGCGTGAGAAAGAAAGTAGTTAAACGAAACATACTATTTCTGAATTTCGTATTGATATATAATTATAATCTTATCGGTTAAGTTAATTATCAAGAATGATATGTTTCTATCACGTAACATAATAGAAATTTTGAAACGGTGTGCTTTAATGAGAATCAAGATGACTTATCGAACTATAGAAATTATATTGTTCGTTACGATGAAACGTTTGATACTGAATGCACGATGGAAATGAAAAACCAATAGTTTGGTGCCATATATCTATGTATTCTCAATAAATTATTATAGGTCATACATATTAATATATAATTTTGTAGTATTGCGCGAATAAAATTCAATGGACTTGATTTTTTAAGTCTTAAAATAATCGGACAATAGTAAATGGGAATGTGTATAAGAGAAACAAAGATAATGCGTATGATGAAAATTATAATTTTAAATGATTATACTTCACTCTGTGTATTTTTCATTTATTTAACGTTATATGAATCATAAAAGCATATAGAGCACTTTCAAAAGCAATACAATTATACGTTTGTCTCGTCCATATATTCATAATATAATAACGTGCTAAATTGGGAAAATCGTTGCTAATGAACGGATAAAACACATATCAATTATCTGTGTTCCTCGTTGAAACTGACTTGTATAGACACAAAGCCAGTGGTAAGTGTTATTTTTGTAATAGGCAAGAAATCTTGATAAGATTACTTTTACTGTCAATTTTTATCATCATTCTTTTAACATTTAACCAAACGCCACATCCTATTTGTTTTCTATCATCATCTAATCGCGAATGTATATTTAAATATCCTTTAGATTGTCGTAAAGCCATGATGTATAAAAACAAAAAAAAAAGCAAAAAAAAGCTAATGTCGCGAGTATCTATTTACTAATTAGTGATTCAATTTGAATAGGTTTTCATATAATATCTCAATGACAAAAACAATGCAAATGATTATTTAATATTCGTTGATCGATAGAACTACTTATGTCAAATGGAAATACCGAACCGATGTAAGAAGTGAAAGAATTTTTATGCAGAACACACATTACCTACTTTTGTATCATCGGCATTGTAGATAACATTGTAATCCGAACGAAAATAGTGTGCGTAATATATTGTAATGAGTAAATGTAAAATTTGTAATAAAGCTGAGTTGATACAAGTGCTTAAAAATAAAAAAAGAAAAAAAAATAAGAAACAAACAAATAAGAAACACGAAATTTAAGAAAAATAAAACGAATGAGTTTGAACATACGAACATTTTCCTTGTATAGATACTTGAGACGAATACAATTTTAGTACATTATTTCATTGATTAACCTTTCTCCTTAGCACGTTGAATGCCATGCAAAGTTTTGATATGTTTTGCCGTAGAAACTACGATTGTTAGGATAAAAAATTATAAAAACAAAATAGTAACGTTGGTCATCGAAGACCAACACGCAAAGCACCACGAACAAATTTGGTACCGGTCGTTGGTATCATTCAACGTGTTAAGAAAATATTCAATACCAAAGAGAGAAAATGTGACACGCAGTGTTTAACAAAGGGGAAGAAATAAAAAAAATGATTTGAGTTTTTCTTCAATCAAAGAAAATATTACGATTTTGTATCGTAGATAATATTAGATTTTTGAACTGTTCTTAGAAACACAATATATGTCATATATGAAGAAAGTGATAATCGTACAAAATACTCGTCAAACTTTAACATTCGATTTTTATTCATACTTCTTCAACATTCACTCAAATAATTACTAGTTACAGTACAATGAATAATGTATTATATTTCAAATTACCTCCGAAGTATTATTTTGTCCCTTCTTGTTAATTAGCGTTCACAATTGATCTACTTAAAAATCTCTGAAAGTATGCAAATTGTTTCATATACAATTATAAAGCGATAATAAAGCTCACTGGTTGTTCTTCTTCTTTTTTTTTTCTTTTTTTTTTCTTTTTAAGTTATGTTTAAACAGTCAGCTTGCTACGACGACGAATATGGCGGCGACAAAAATAATCAGTTTTAAAAAGATCACACACTATACGGCGCATCGGTCTATATTTACAATTATTTACTTTGCGTGTTAAATGCGTTTCGGATTATTACACAAAATTCTGATTATTACGAGACAATTTTATTTGCTTTGTTTGTGTTTCTTTTTTTTCTTTCTTTTTCCTTCATTATTTTGATACTTATATTTACAGTTAAACCTATCTACGAGGTGGTGGAACATACAACACATCGTAGGATAAAGCTGTCAACGTTAAATCTTCTTCGTGAAAATTCGAAGGTACTTTTTAAAAAAATCTTACTCTGAAAGAGACGTCATCTTAATGTTTCTTTTTTTTTATTTTTTATTGATAATTTTATCCTACGCACACACGCGCGCAAATTAATAATTTATTTACAAAATTATGAATATATTCATTCAATTAACACCAGCGTCATCGTCAACGAGCATTTCTAATATATACTTACGAATATATATATATCTAATCGTTATTTACAGCGGTATTTAAATCGTTACAATCATTGTCAAATATACAAGTTTCCGGATTATCTTTCTCATTTCATTCAGAAACATTCGACAGATAAATTATCTCAGATGAATGAGCTATAAGATGTGTGTACATCTTATTAAAGATACAATATTTCTAATAAGATTTACATTTACATACAATATTATCCTCAGTTGACTAGATCAAAGCTGCTGTTAATTAGAAAGAGGACTAAATACGTTCTAAATATATATTTTTTCTCAGTTTGTCTTATTTTTTTCTTCACATCGTTTCCAAAATTCATTTTCATCATTTTTATTCTGTAACGTGGTAAAAGAAAACGCGACAAGGTAATTCGATATTAACATTATGATAGAAATCGCTATACTGTAAATTTGAAATAATTATAATTGGTGAGACGCGAAATATAGAATTTTGCATAACAATTATACTAAAATATAGATAGCAGTTATGGATTAATTTTAGGCTCCACAATATCGTGATTATCTCAGTTTATTTTTTTAAAAAAGATTAGGCCGAGATTAATTGAAAATATTATCTAACAAAATATCGGTTAATCAAGATTAATTATGAATAAAATTAAGTTTAGTTAATTATGATATTCAACAATGCTGCTTTCTCTATGATATAAAATATAAAAAGAAACAAATGTAAAATTTGTTTTTCTTTTTTGCATATCATTTCAAATAATAATCCATGACAATAGATCCGTTGTCATTAAAAAAAATTCACTTTTCTGGGATTGTCATATAACTTTTTATACATAGATCATCTTCTAATCAGTTAGAAATTACTCCTGAATAATATCTAATGTAACAATAACGTTTACATGTCAATAGGAAAAACATTGAAACCAAGTTAGATATTACAAAATAATAGACAAATGTTTACAAATACAATATTATCGATAGATTTTCATGAAAAAAAAAAAAAACTTAACTGTGTATATAAATGTTATAAATGATAACTTGTTACGATATTATTTCTATCATACATTTAAAAAAAGAAAAGTACAGTCGTGAAATTCAGACATAGAGAATATCGTAATCTATAATTTCACGGAAGGTTCGCTTAATTAGTTATAAATCTTTTTCTTTTTTTTTTTTTCTTATAAGCAAGTAGAAAGGAAAAGCGTGAACATTGACAATCGCACTTATACTTAAGACAAATTGATCCCGTTTGCTAATGGAAAAGGAATGATAGTGCGTAATAGACGAGGTCCAATTAATCGAAACTTTTTCGTATTTCTTGGACACAATGTATCTAAACACTGACTACGAAAGTATAGATAATAGAATTGTATAAATGATTATATTCGTTTGTAAAAAAGCGCATATCCTATCACCTCTCGACGATATCGAACGAGATACGTTATCGGTTCTTCGACGATTTGCATCTTTGTTCAAAGGTTGCTTTCGTTGTACGTCTTTGTCAATTTTATTTTCAGCATTGATGTAATCATTATTATTGTTATGTCGTCTACCATTGGTTCGTGTATCTGAAAATAATTAAAATATTCATTAAAATTATCATCGATCACGATAGTTTGTAAAACATTCAAATCATTTTATAAAATACGTACGTTAGATTAATATAACGATACGTTCAATTTCATAATGATGATATATGACAAATTTCACAGAAGAAATATCATTTTTTAATTCTTAATATGTGTCCAATAATCGATATGTAAAACGATACGATGAATGAATTTAGATATTTTTACAAGTGGGATGGAGTATCGATATTTGAAAAAGGTCAAAGTAGCTTTTTAAATTTATTATAAGCTATGCATAACTCATTTCACACGTTCGATTTTTACTCAATAACTCTATCTGTAATTAATATCGATAAGTAAATTCTACGGTCCGTAGATTGGTTTCTTTATTAGTTAAATAACAAAAAAAAAAAAAGTATAAAACATTCTCGTACCGCTTAAAACGTCGGTTGATTGATTTTAATTTCTCTCGGAAATTTGTTCGTGAAAATAAAATGTACGAGCCCCGAAGAATGTTCGTTTTTAATTCTTATGTATGGATAATTCAACGTCATGTATGGAATAAATGAAAAAAAACAAATAAGACGAAATCATAGTAACTAATATACATTGGCATAGTTAGACAAATTATTTTATTTTATTGTCACAGTGACTGTGTATAAATTTCATTGGAATATCTTTATTTTAAACAATTTAAATACCTACTCTCATTTCTAATCGCAGTGGACAAAGATGCGTCTGTTATTTCATTAGAGTTCGGTTCTAAACTCGGTACCATCTTTTGTCGAGTCCTTTGCATAGTTTCGACTGAAAATAATACATAATTGTATTAATCATTTATATATAATTTTATCTTTTATTAAAAATTATTGTCGTTTTATATACCTTTATCTATCGTGGGCATTGGTGTCGTTGTAGTGGTCGTGGTCGTGGTCTTAGCTTGCGTCGTGGTAGTTGGAATATCTGTAAAACGTATATATATATATATATATGTTACCGTCAAAGCCGAAAATCAGTCATTGCTAGTAATTTCTCGAAATGAGTGCAATTTCTCGAATGAATGCAAAGAGCCTTCAGACGAAGACGGAAATTGAAAAATTCTTCCAGTTTTTCCTAGGCATCAAACATAATACTTTGATATTCTATAGAATATCAAATTACTATTAAAACAACGTGGAAAAGAATACATTCTCGGGCACAGACACACACAGCCATATGCAACCTGCATCTTTGCAATTTCTTTGAAAAGTTTTGATAAATATTTTTTATACTTTTAGCAAATGGATTATAATGACTTTTATATTAAATTAAAGTGCACAATTTGGCTACACGTAGAGTACCTTTTCGCATAATAAATCAATTTGCAAAGGTTCGTAAAATGGCAAAGAAAAGTTTGCGGATCAGGCAATGCGAAGGTTCCAAACCTCCCCCGGCAATGCTAACAATTATAAATATTTCGTTATATTACAATTATAAATTAATCGTATGCACATACTTGATTTTGTATGTATGAAAAAATCGTAATTAAGACTTGGATCCTATAGGTATCTTTTCTATATTATTTTAACTTGTTGTAAACAAACGTGAAGCTTTAGCCAATATTCTCGTGTTTACAAATAAACATCGACCGATAAAATATATAAACCACGTCAGCTGCATCTGCAGTTTATTGTCAATCACCCTATAGAGTAATCAATTAAATCGTAAAAATCTTCATATCGATATAAAATAACTCTTTAAATTAATAAATATGGTTTTATTCTGTGATCGTATTATCAAATAAATAATTTTTTTTATTTGTCTTTTAAAAAATCTTTTATGTTTGCTAATGCAGTTTTTATTTCTTTATTTATTCAATAGTATTTGATATCGATAGTATTTTATTGATACTCAATGAGAAAGCAAAATTATTCCTTCGAATGTTTTTATTTACAAGATCAAAGAAAAAGAATTGCATACATATAAAGAGAATAAGATATTTCTAGTCGATTTGATTTTTATTTAACGAATTTTCTTATATTTCGTACAAACGTATTCGAATTGAAACAAAAAGTAAAGTAAAGTAGGTCAAAAACGGAACAAGTTCGATATTATTAATGAGAACTATACGTCTACATTTTCATGTGCATTATATTAAAGCATCTCGATAAAAAACGCGAAGCATCCGAAGAAAATAAGAAAATGTAGTAATATTATTTTCGAGTGATTCGATAGAAAGTGAAAACAATCGAGGATATCAAGTTTTATACGGTTTTTCCAGAAAGATTGAAAAGTCGATACAAATATTTATTTTGTTCCTTCATAAAAAGGAAAATAATCGAATAACTACTGTACATAAACGTACTATATTTCATAATAAATAGATAAAGAATAAATTTAAAACATTAAGCACCGATTTATTTTATACAAGATATCTCTCAACAAAATAAAATCACTTAAATGTTTTGTCAAACTAAGGAAACATTTTAAGTGATTTGATTTAGTTAATAATAAAAGACACTCTTCTTCGTATATAAATATATATTTAATAATTTAATTCAATAACGCGAGATAAGAGATATAATATATTTTTCTCCTGTACCCCTATAATAACAGCACGAAATAAAACTTTAAAATGATGATCTCTCGTTAAGTCGTCTATAAAACTCAATCGGATTTCTTTTGAGAGCGTTCTTTGCGGATTCCCGTAGAATTCAAGCACCTTTTCTCTCTCTCTCTCTCTCTTTCTCTCTTCTCTCTTTGAGTTGGATAGACGTCACAAAGCTAAGAAGTTCTCAATCCGTGAACGAAGCAGAGAAAAGCCACGATTACAGATCGATCTGGATCTGGTCGGGTTTTCCTATCTCTTTCTCTCTTTCTCTTTCTTTCTGAAAAACTACACCGACAGTTCTCACAGTTATCGATGTGATTCGCTATACTTCCCATGAAACTCTACTTTTTCGATCCTAAGCAAAGCTTCGATATAAAGCTCCGATACTACCCCATGGCAATTTCCCTTTGATTTTCGGTCCTGTAAGATTAGAAACGAATTCGGAAGTAATTACGTGCTTGTGTATATAGATTTTACGAGAGAGAGAGAGATTGGTTGTGTTGTTGATCGATTGGACGAATTGAATTATTTGTCGATGCGTTAAGTGATTAAAATTAGATAATGTTACTTTAAAAATTCTTTTTCTTTTTTTTGTTGTTGTTGTTTTTACTATTTTTTTGTCAAGATCACGCCATCAATTATATTTGTATTTTTTTTCATTTCTGTCATTTATCATCCGATGTAAAAAATATAATTTTCTAAAGATCTTTTTCGTACGATCTATAATACATATTTTAATTAATTCATTATCAATATTATATATAGAATTAAGAGAAAATATTCGTCTAACTCGGTGACAGTTTAAATTAATTCCCGCTTAGGAAAGTGAAATATATATATATTCGTATGCACAACGAATGTAAACCGATGCGAAGAAGTTTACATTTAATTAGACTGAAATAGAAAAAAAAAAAAAAAAGAAAAAATAGAAACTTAACGGAGATAAATGTTAATCTATTTCCAAGGCAATATAGCTAGATTTTCTATGTGTTGTGCAGGTAGAAGAAAGATTAGATTTATATATGTAATCGAGACATTTTAAATCGTTAGACTCTCCTAGAGGAGATCGTGAGAATTTCGATTATCGAAAGGGATCCCGTTGCATTCGCGCGTTGCTTTTCCAGTGGGATTGCTACATTTCACCGTGACTTTAGCCCATCGATATATCTTACTCGCTGTCTTCGAAAGAGCTCGTGGCCCTTTATCTTACAGCTTTAGAGAACGGAAAGGGAGAAGGGAAGGGAAGGGGTAGGAAAGGAAAGGGTAGGAAAGGGCTGCGCGATCGAACGCTTAATTTTTCATCCCACGCTTACATTCTTCTTCGCGCGACTAACGATTTCTGATAACACACACGTGAATTAAATGCCCATCGTGAAAGAAAAAGATACGAGAATAGATGACGACGGCTTACTCGCTACGATAACGTGTAGATACTTTTTCAAAAATCGTCAAAAATTCGTGACAAATGCGAACGTGGAAGAATATCAATTATTTTATATAGATCATCAGTTAGAAAGAATTGTATCAATAAAGAACGTTAGATTAATTAGAGAATATTAATATATATATATAATAATTTTACTTAATTAATTGAATAAACGGGAATATTGTTATACGATAATAATAATGCATTTGTTTAGCTTCACGATGACGAATAGAAGATTAGCATTACAATTTCCTCTTCTAATAATAATTATAAGCTATTTTATTCATTCATTGAATTAGCTCCATTTTAAAATTATATTATTTAAAATTTTTCAAATCCTAAACAATATTTGGTTGACTTAAAAAATTGCCTTTTTCCTGAAAACGTGAAAGCTATCGGTTATATTATTTTCAATTAAAAAAACGTAGAAGGATGGTATCGAACGTGAGGATACGTTTAATTAACTTTCTTTTTCCTCTATATTCTGTATATATATTGACGTATCCAGTAAAACAAACAGATAGTATATATTCAATAAGTTAAAATATAAAACATGTAGAAGATATCTTTTTGTTGATTCGTATAAAGTCCTTTTCATTAGATTGAATTTCATTGATATATAGAACATACATAAGTGATAAATCATTTTTCATCAAAGGATATCAAAGATAAGAGGTTACTACACACACACACACACACACACACACACACACACACACACACACACACACACACACACTATTATATGACGTTCAATTCGAACTATGATAATAAATGAATTTGGAAAGATTCTTTCCATTAAATATGATTACTTACGGTAAAGCGATATACTGCCATCCGTTTCGCCTAAAGAATTTTTCGATATGCATTTGTAAGTGCCGTAATCTGACATGGTAACAGAACGTATCGTAAGCTTCATGTGCACTTTGTAACCATTGTCCGAGAAGGTTGCCTCGTACTTCTCTCCTAGAAAAAAAAGAATAAAAATAGAATAAAGATATATATATAACGATGTACCACCAACCTACACCTACGTGTTGGTTGGTGGTACATCGTGTCGTTTCTGCTTGTTCGCACGATAACGGAACTTTTCAAGTTTACGATGGGTTACCTATAAATCATGGGAATCGTATAAAATATAAAAACGCCAAACGGAAAATGGATTCGTCGATATCGTTTCTCGCGCCCTTCCGCCGCCGCCCACACGTTCGAAAAGCCCTGGGTATTATTTTCGTGTGTCCTGCGCTCGATCGAACGTAAAATTTGACATTATGCTTCGATGGACAATCGAGCGCACACCCCTTTTTCTCAACTTCGATGTCTACGTTTAAAGAATCCTAGCAATTTTTCTTCCCTTATCTTTTCACTTTAAATAATATCGGGATACGTACGTACGAAATTATGATATTTGTTTTATATCCAAAGGAAATAAAGAAAAGGGTGTATCTATATTTCGAGAGATATAATAATTTAAATAAATTATTCATTAAATATAATCTAAGATAGATGTGATCCTAATATGAAAAAAAAATAATAAGACAAATGTGAAATTTGTTTTTATTTTATAATTGTTCGAATCATTTAATAATCCTTTATTAATACATTTTATAAATAACGACAAACAATGGAATTACAAATATTACGGACAAATTTGATTTTACATTTGAGTTTATATATTTTTTTCGATAAATATTTTCAAACCGTTAATCATCCCAAAGTATAACAATCTATCACAAAAAATACGAAGAAACTTTCACCTATATCAAATATATTATATATAACATGCAATAAAACGATAATTAATAGTGTATTGTATGTATAATAGCAAATAGATGAATTTCAATTACTCTGGCCAATTTCAATAAAATTATATTGCTTATATGCGAACGAATTTCAATGCATTAATGTAATATACTTTAATGATCTAGTTATAGGAAATACGAGGAAGTGTATTATTATTTAAACTACAGTCAGGGCTTTGCGGTGGTCGACCATTATTTTTCTTTTTTTTTTTTCGCCTAAGAAACGAATGTTACCTTCAAACGAAGAATTATCACCCTACGGAGAATCGTATTTTCCTTCGGTAGGGACATTATGCGCCCTCAATCTTTCCGAAAAAAAAAAGAAAAAAAAAACAAAAAGAAACGCATTCACATTACCAACAGTCATGATCACAGATCACGCTATTCACTCGTTACTTCTATGCACCGGCAAAACTTTAAAATGCAACCACAAAATTCTATAGAATTTCGTGACTAACGTCATGCTTATAATCGTTAAATTTGAACTCGACAAACGTAATACCGAAAAGTTAGGTTGCGTTTTAAATGATCCTGGAATATTGCGTTCATTGCAATTCATAATTGTTCATATGTTTTTCGTACGCAGCCTTATATATCGTATCGCTCGAAAGAATTTGTTCTTTTTGTCTAAGATATACCAATGAGAAGTGGTATGGTATGGCATAGTTTCCTAAAAGAGATAAGAGAAAAAAGAATGGGAAAGGAGTGAAGTAAGTTTTGATTAGCAATTCGTGGAGGGCGAACGGCCAGAGGAATTGGAAACAGAATGAAATCTATAGGTGTAATGATGTGCATTAAAGTGGTGAAGGAAGTATTTTCGCAGTTGGAAGAAAACTTTCGTACTCGCGAATGAGTAGGAAAGAGAAGAAGGAAGAAAGAAAGCTTGAGAGATAGTGTAAAAGAAAAAGAAAAGAGAAAAAAGGAAAAGAGAAATGAGAATGAGAAAGAGAAAGAGGAAGAGAATGTATACGAGTATGTGTACGTATACGTGTACACGTACGTGTTTGTAAAAGGGAATAAAAAAGAAAGAGTAAAATCGAAGGAAAATGAGAGGAGAGAGAGAAAGAGAGAAAGATTGAAAGAAAGAGGTGAGAATAGATAGAGAAGGAAAATAAAGAAGGAAAAAGAAAGAGAATGCATTTTTGTAGTGGCTCCAGTCGACCCTCGAAAGCGTAAGAAAAACTTTACCCTGGCTTCCAGTTTGAAAAGTAGATGAAAAAGTTTAACGACGTTGAACTACGGTCCCAAGCATTACCACCGAGAGAGATGTCGAATGGGTTTTCAGGGATAAAACTGCTTTTAACCAAAAGTCCCTGGGACCGTCGACGAGGACGAGGATGAGGATGAGGATGAGAACAAAGATGTTCGTGTTACTCCTATCTTCGCACGTCGTTGGCGTGTCTAACGACATATGTGAGCATGAATCAACCAGCCTTAAGATTTTATCCGTTGAGTGAACGATAAAAACAAAAAAAAAAAGAAATAATTCTTCGTTATCTTTGATCATATATATTATTACCTTTATTTTTCATGTTAATTTGTTTTTTTTTTGTGTCTATACAATGATTATCGAAATAATCACGTTAACGGGATTAAAGGGTTAATAATTGTTATTATTCATTTCTAATTAAAAAATTGTATATTATTTGTTTTTTTAAAAAAAGAACATTCAATCGATGCTACAATGAGATAGGATATTTCTTCAAGAATAGGATGAACGAGAATATGAATATTATTAAAGTAATAGAAAAGTTAAAGAATTTGGTGATAAGCATGCCAAGCAAGGGTTAGTTGAAACATCGGTAACGATAAGTACTTTCGAACACGCCATCTTTATGTACCGACGGGGTATTCAGGAAGATCTAGCTCGTTTAAATTTCTATCTTCCGACAAGGTTTAGTCGCGTTTTATCGCGTCTCGTTTTGGTAGTACTACGATCGGAATCAAAGATTCCTTGTTTTCCGGTAAAACAATTTTGTCGAATTTCGTTCTACGATGAACGAATAATGAATTCTTTTAAGCATTCATACGTATTACATTTTCATTGGTATCGATGAAATAAAATAGTAAACTCAGATAAGTTGTGTCGAATCAAACTATTATCTATTATCTCGTTTAATTTTCTATCTGTGTGATCTCAATGAGTTTATTCTTTCAATTTCCATTTTAAATATTATTAAAATTAATTTTTATTATATAATTTACCAACAACTACAGTTTCTTATTTATGTCGTTGTTACATAAGGATTTTAATTGTTATCAATTTAATTTTCCAATTAGCCGTTATGAAATAAATTATTGAACGTTAATGATAAGAGTTGCAACTCGTTGCATAATAGCCCGTGTTACTTTTCATATAATGTTGATTCGGAAAGAATAAATCAATACATTTTAAATGAATTTATTTTAATGCATTTTAATACAAAAAGGGAAATGATACTACGGGACTACGCAATTATCGGAATTCTTTGTTTTTTTTGTTTTGTTGAAAATAGCAATTCATATTTGTATTATATTTGTGTATTCAGAAATTAATATTCGAACAAAATATTTAAATTCTCTTCAATTAAAGTTACTTTCTTATCTAGCAAAAAAGTTTCCTATTGAAAATTAATTACAATCAGTTGCCCGTAAAACTTTTTTTCATGTTCACTGGACTAGAATTGTTATTAGCGTCGTTCTTCTGCATAATTGTACCGAAATATTCATCGTTTTATAACGAAATTCGTGGCTATGAATATCTTTTGTGTTCGTACGCAAAAAAGGGGGACTAATTAAATTACACTGTTCAACGAATACATCCGATCGATATAAACATTTAATCCTGTGTTTTCCGACCAATAATTTTTTTTTCTTTCCCTTTTTTATTTTTTTTTATTTTTTTTTCATATTCCATCTGGGCCAACCGAAAAACGTGGATATCAAAATTTCATCGATAAAATTATGTTTTTCTTTTCGTTTTTTGCGCTTTATATTTGTCACGTACACGCATTAACTAACAAATACCACAAAAATAATAAATAACTAGTATTCATATTTTTTTTTTTCAACATAAAATAAATATCTCTCGTTAATGAAATTTTCCACTTTTTTTTTCAATATAAACGACACAGTACGTATCCACCGATAAAACAATATTCCAAATGAATGAATATGGAAAATAAAACAAAAAAACACGAAAAACAACAACAAAAATTCTTCAAAATCAACCGACTTTCCATTCATGATTTTCGATTCGAATTAATTCGATCGATTTCATCCAACGAGAGAGGGGGCTGAGGTAGAGAAAAAAAATTTTAAACCTCGTAGGAAACAACACATACAACACACATTATAATTTACACACGTAAGAGAAGATATAAATACATATACATATGGCACATTCATGTATGCACCAACCAACGTTTCGCGTAATCGTGTCTCATCGAGCGTGTAGCGATAAGTCGAACGTAAATTCATCGTTTCATTGCGTAGAGGGATAGTAAACACATTTGTAAGTCGCACCTATGAGTTTTGATATCGTCTCGTGCGGTTTCACGCGCACTGAATACACATTACAGAAATACGAGCAAGCATTCGCGGGGAACATTTAGATCGTAAAACATGTCGGTAGGAGGGTAGGCGGGTAGGTGGGTAACGGAGAGGGGGAGGGGTTAGGATGGTAATATTGCAATGGTGGAGAAACACGGTGCGGTTGACGCGCGAATGCTTCTCTGGATAATTCGTCGCTCGACATAGGAATGTATGAAGGGGAAAAGGGGGGTGGTAGAAAAAGGAAGGGGCAGGGGACACGCTTTTCCCGATTATTACTCTGAACAAAAGGTATATATCGTTGATTGTTGTTCCTGCGTTGCTTTACTACACGTGGGTTAACGTGTAACGTTAAAAACAATTCATTGTCAAAACTGGTAATGTTTAAAGGATAGACGAAACCTAACGAGATAGTCAATTCTAACGGGTAGAGAAAGAGAATAGGTTGTTAAATAAACAATTTATAACAATAAGGTACGTGATAATTACATCGATAATCGATGATTTGGATATAATTTTAAAGTATTTCATTTGAAATAATCTATGATAACACACCTGTTTTGTAATTATATATTATAATTAATCATTTGTAATAATAAAGTAAAATAATTATATTCGTAGAATTATTCGCAAGCATTTTACAAGTGTTGGAATATATTATTTATAGATATATCGTATCAATAATTATATTGACACGTGGTCTTCCACAAAGAAGAAAGAACAACTGTAAATGTAAGATTTATGAAATTTTGTAAATTATTGGCAGAGAAAAGAAAATTTTTGAAGATACTATGATTTTAGATTTACAACGAAATAACAAAAGATGTTGCATCTTATCTATGTTTGTGTGTGTGTATATATAGATGATTAAGTGAGCTTGGTAACTGGAAGAATGAATCCAAGGCTGATATTCGCGCATCTGCCACCGAGTGCACTTTGCCATTTAGTTTCGTACGATAAAGTCATCCTAGACAAATTTAGTTAGTTTTTTTCCATAAGCTCTTTTGTTTTTTTCATTTTACTGTCGCGAATAAATGATATAAAATTAATAGAGAAATTAATTTAATTCAACGTCAAATTGTTCTCTTGCGTATAATATTGTTGCATTACTATTATTAAAATCAATACTAAATAGAAAAAAACGAAGGGTGGGGGAAGATGTATGACAGAATTTAGCGTTAAAACAAATGAGAGAATTTACGTTACATCTCGTATTGTGTTAAAAAATGAGAAAGTTGCACGGTTTTTACGTAAAGTAGATGCAATTAATTTCGTACGAGAGCAAAGTAGTTCGTGACGTTCGTGCATTTTAAAATGTAGTTTTAACAAATACAAGATGAAATACGAAGTATTTATAACATATACGGATGAATTAATGTTTTTCGCGCGCGTTTCTCTTTTAAATAAAATATTAATAATTATTTTCCGAACGTGTGATATAATCTCGTGTGAATAAAATTAGAAAAGAAAATAATTAAATTTAAGTTAGGATCACAAAAATATATTTAAAGATAACGAAGAGTTCAACGCGTATAATCCATAGGAGTCATCGATCTTTTGGGAGAAAAACACGCCCCAAATGCGGGCGGCTTGAAATTAAACTAATTAGCTGCACAATTAGCAAACTGAAACGTAGATCTCATGTTCTTATTGCACCTGCATTCGCGACCGAAAGTAGTCAGCCGCACATTAATGGCTTCGAAGATACATTATTCTAGTTAGTTACTGCATGAGTTCTCATTCATAAACACGCGTCTCTTCTAATTATTCCATATAATCATGCATATTTGCATTTACGTACGTTGTCATGCTCTTCCAATCGTTCCAAAGAAATCAATAATTAATGAAGCAAACCTATTGTATGCATTATAAATATTAAATACGTATATTATATTTATTAACTGCTTCTATCAAATACCATTCACGTACCAATTGTATTATTCATGCGAAATTATGTTGAAACAAAAAAAAACATGAGAAAATGTTATCTCCTTTTCTTTTCAATTTATTTTTACACATATCGTAAGTACGTAAGTAATTTCTAACAATTATGCAATGTAGCGTGTCACTCATTACTTTACGACTAATACCTATAACTATCTATTAATTTACTTTTTTTCTCCATCAAATAGAATATCGAGAATAAATTCGGAGACAAAATTATTAGGTAAAACAACAGGTTTCATTAATAGACGAGTATCGTAAACGTGAACGACATTTATTAAACATCACTATGATATATATATATGTAAGTAATTATTTATATTATATTACCATTTGGTATAATCTGATTATTTCCTCTAGTCCAATAGTTGATTGATTTCGGGAAAGCTTCAGAATGACACTCCAACGTCATTTGTTGTCCCTCTTGCACTCCCACCAATTGATTCTGAATCCAGATCATCGGAGAAACTGTCAAAGGAACGAAAGGTATCAATACGAAATGTATACGAACTATTGATATAAATAAAACGAATACAACTATTTCTATTTTACGGTATACTGATACGCGGCGCGCGAGATACAGAGAGACATGTAAAATAAAATTGATACTTTTCGTGTGACTAAATGGAATAAATAATAATCTCGTCATAAGTTTATTATATATTTATTTTCAATTGAATTTGGGAGGGGGGTTTATATTTTAGACAATTTTTTACGATATCTTTCTCTCTCTCTCTCTCTCTCTCTCTCTCTCTCTCTCTCTCTCTCTCTCTCTCTTACGTGTATCGTTCGTAGTTCGTTAGAAGAGTTCCGGGAAAATTTCACTTCCGTCGTGTACTTTCCTCTTCTCCCTTTTCCCCCTCTTGGCTTCTAAAAGTCGAAGCCAAAAGCCAAACAAGCGAAACAAGTTTGAATTACCCTTCGGCAATTTGAACTAAAAAAAAGAAAAAGAAATAGAAGAAAGAGAGAGAGAGAGATAGAGAGATCTATCGTAGGTTGCAATTTGTACAAGCAACTTCGCTGTACTTTTGAACGTTCGCAATAGAGAAGGAATAAACGTGTTATTTGGACGGAAAGAGGTATGACTGCTGTTGCGGATTTAATGTCAAAGCAGAGACGGATTCTCGCGATGATAATATCGATTGAAGCAGCATCGTACCCCAAGTAGTAGCTCGAGTCGCGTTTTCGACGTATCTAGTTACTCACAATAGTACTCTTGAACGTTCTTTGAATTCAAATAATCCCTCTCCCATCATCTAAACGTATTGAAATTTAATTTGAATTTCAAGAAGTTTAGCAATCGAGCTGTAAGAGATAAAACGGTTTTTTGTTGTTAATATAATCAAACCTCGTTCTAAAATATTATATCGTCCTGCTACCTTTTTTTCAGAATGCATACAGCTTATCTTTTTTTTTTCTTTTTCTTTTTTATTTATTTGATAAAAATCGTGAAATACTATTCACCAGCAAAGTAATTAATATTGAAGTATTTTTCTACAAAATGTCGACGTTATTTCAAGCACTTTCGAACAAGTCGTTACATTTGAAAAAGAGAGAGAGAGAGAGAGAGAGTTTTGAAAAAGAGTACGAACGAATTTGCAAAACATTTTACTCGTGCTAGGCAGAAACGCTTAAGTGCTCAATTGACAAACGTATCAACTAACCCATTCCTATCGTTGGAGATCACATGCGAACGATGTCCTTTCAAAGACTGTGCTATGTGATTTCGCAAATCTTTCGATGGGTTAATGGTAGTACATACATTCACAGGATATATTTTGTTTTATCTTTTTAAATTTTTGTATTTGGATCAAATTTTAAGCTCCACCTTTATAAATAACTATTGGATATATTCGAAAGTTATAGTATTTTTTTAAAAGATTACTTTTTCTTTTTTTTTTTTAATATTTGCGTTACTTTCATTTGCTCGTAAAGAAATTCGTTGATCGTTAGTAAAAATAAGAAAAAAAAAATAAAAATATCAATGATATAAAGAATTGATGGACCCTCCTAGTATACAAACGTTAAAAGAACATAAGCAGATTTTATATCATTTTTATTATAGTCAAATATTTTATTTTATCGTTTCATAAATATTTGAAAATTAGGATATAAGGAATCATTAGTAAGAGTAATAATTATGTTACAGAGTTAGGAAACATACGTTGATGACCACTATTTTAGAATAGTTAATGAGCTATACGATAAAAATAAAGCTTCCTCATCGAGGCTAAAGTTTCCTCATTAAATATACTCACAGTGTACTATGAGCATAATTCTCTTGCTGACGGTAGGTGGAACACTGTTTGAGGCGATACAAAGGTACGCTCCCATCTGTAATCGGTTCACTCTCACGATGTTGAAGATCGATCCTTCGACGCTACTAACTGCAACAAAATATGTCGAATTCAATATATCATTATTTTTATTATATATAGATATATATACAAGATGGTAAAAAAAAAAAGAAAAACAACCCGATATATTTTTTTAACAACATATATTCAACGGAAATAGAAAATAATTTTCTATAAAGTAAAATAATAGATCATCAAAAATCGAATATTGTTCTCTAATAACATTAACAAACAAATAAACAAACAAACAAACAAATTCGTTTGCCCGAGTAAAAACAATCCGATGGCAGATCCAAAATTAATAACGGCCAAACCGAGAATGCTTTGTACTTCTGAAGCACCGATACTAATTCACTGCTAAGAACAACCTAAAGGTTTTGCCGATTGCTCTAATCTCCGTAAACATCGGATATCTCGGATACTTCCTTGGGACAAAACCATTTCCATTCGCGTACGCGAAACACTTGTCGGCTACTTCTTGCTTAAGTCGAATGTCTTGCGACTGTAAGTCTAACTATATGTTATTCCATTACTACTGAATCAATTATGTTTGTTTCGTGAAATACGTTCGCAACGAACACAATGGATAATACTTAATAGCGAAAGATACATTAGCGATGTATGTTATTCATCGTGTTGATTATTGATTACAATTTATAAAAACATGACAAAGGATTTTATTTTAAATAAAAAGATTATAATATCGATAACAGAGTAACGATATGAAATAAATAACTAGTAGTATCACTTTGGATCACGTATTTAATGAGATAATATAAAATCGCACGAATCTCTTTAATATTTCTTTTCTATTCAGACCATTACTCTAGCGAACCTTATTTAAATAATAATCTGAGAACGATATGGGTAGAAAAATTTCATTTTTGCTTAAACAACATCGTATAATTTATATTGTAAATATCATTTATAATATAACAATTTACTAGACCTTTATTTATTTTGTTCTTTTTGTTTCATCTCCGTTGTGATTTTATTTCTCTCCCCTTTTTCTCGTTTTTCCTCTTTATAATCTTTTATCTTTTATTCGTTCATTTTTTCATTTTAGTCGGGCTCGGTTATCTTCTTTCACGAGAGAACAAAGCTAAAGCACAACCACCACCACCACCACCACTACCACTACGAATTATCTTTCCCTCGTAGTACGTTAACGCATGAACACGTCTCAATTAACGATCGTTCTTTCTCCATCAGCTAATCAGCCTTTGCCTCAATCAACGTTCGATCGATCGTACGTCAATTTTTCATTAAATGTAGACATTTTATTTCTGACTAACGGAACTATTTCGATCTCTTTTAAAACAAAAACAAAGAGACGAGCTAATCAACTGCATCAAATCAAAAGTAGATCAAATAGAAAAAATGTTCCAAGATTAAAATAACGAAATTTTTTTTTTCTTAATTATTTTTAATTTATAGATCAAAGAAGAAATGGAAAATTAGTTCGAACAAAAATATTGCGGAAAAATTCAGTATAAGAGAATATTTCGTTTCAACGTTAGCCACAACAGGTCTAGTTCTGTACAATAAGAAGCAATCTAAGAATCTTGGCGTATGCGCATTAACGAAATGCACACTTCAGGTAATTAGGGAATATTCCTGCATCCCCACTCTTCATGCCCACGCTACACCACGCCCAGCTGGGTCCGCTAACCACCATTGGACGCCTACGGGGACGGATCTCGTGTAAGAAGTAATAATATATTCAGCGAATTAGAGGTATCCTTCTATATAGAATCGAGGTAAGTTGCAAAAGCGGCAAATCTTGCAAGAGCTTTCGTAATTATCAAAAGAATTCCATGTTAGAGGAATTTGCGTACATACAGGGGTCCCAGTGGGACAAAAAAATAAATAAAAATAAAAATTCTTAAAATACATTTAACGACGATTGCGACGATAAAAAGACAACGACGACGATTACGATGAAGAGAAAGAGAAGATAGTGGTGGTGGTGGTGGTGGTGGTGGTGGTGGTGGTATATAATGGTAAAGAGTAGTTGCGTGGGTTATCAGAGGTAAAAGAAAATGATGAAGAAGAAGAAGAAGAGAGCATGGGAACCGCAGACAGAGAGGAGAAGCACGGGCCACGCGTTGCACGTAAATCTCGGGACGCGAGGGAAACTAAAAGGCGGTTGGTTGCCGCGGTAGTGTTCACCGGTTCGAATTTTCGTCCCGAGTACGAAGTTTGGCCAGTACCACCACGAGGATGTTTAATCTCCGCACGAGGCAATTTATGTTATTGAAATGGTTGCGCCGTTGACTCGACTCCCTTTAGTCACCTGCTTGAAAGAAAGAGATAGATATACACTATATATATAAAATGAAATAGAAACAGAAAGGGAGAGAGAGAGAGAGAGAGAGAAAGAGAAATAGAAATAAAAAAATATCAACGTGCCAAAGCTGGTCTCAACGACGTTACGGGTTTCAAGCTCTTTGTTTAATTGCAAATCCCCCTTCCTCTCTCTCCCCTCCCCAGCCCCCGACCCTTCTACATCATAAACGCATACCGTGTAGAACTTTCGCACGATAAACTATAGGTATGTTCTTCTCTTTCATCTCCAATTTGTCCTCTTCTTCCGGATCAGATTTTATCGACGAATTTATACGAATCGACTTTCCGTTTTATCATTCGGTTTTTACTTCTCCCTCGTTTTATTTTAATTAAAAATATGGATTTCGATTAAACATGAAACACTCGGCCATTCCTTGCCAGAGAACGACTAAACTAAATGCTACACATTCAATTCGAATATTTTTGTTGAAAATAGGAATAGTATTGAATAGCGGAAATAGGGTCTATCATGTAAAACTATATATATATGTATATGAGTATTATCTGTCTATATAGGACAATGTAAAAATCGAAAAATTACGCAACGATTTTATGGAGATCGAAGAGTAATCATTCCGTTTATCCCATTCCTCCCATTTGTCTTATTTTAATTAAAAATATGGATCCTATTGTAGAATTCGAAAATGTATCCCTGAGAGTTTTATTTCCAATATTTGTATATACATTAATATTGCCGAATATTTTTTTTCGCCCCTGTATTTTAGATAACTAAAAACAAAAGAAAGGAACATAATTACGTCGTTTCTCTCTCTCTCTCTTCTTTCTCCTCTATTTTTAATATAATATATAATATTTTATATTTATCTTGTCATGCGTTTTTCAAAATGCGTTGTAAGATTTTTATAGCCTTGCATATTTACTTATGTTTTCATTAAGCAATCCATTTTTTTCTATTATATATATTTGATCACAAGAATATTCCACTTGGCTTATTTGAATTAACATCAAAAATAAAAAATAATAATAGCACGAGTGTAAACTTGTCTTACAATTAAATATATCCGCGCGTAAAGCAACAACCCAATGTGCAGAGAATACATTTTGAAAAAATCGTGAAATTTCATACCGTACTCGGTAAAGTATTGGCATGAATGCAAGTATCCCCTGTACTCTCTCTCTCTCTCTCTCTCTCTCTCTCTCTCTCTCTCTCTCTTTCTCTCTCTCTCTCTCTCAATCGAAGCACAAAGGTTTTAAAACTGCGTGCTCACACACGGTGATGAAACTTTATTTCCCATTCGTATTTGTGGACAGTTTCCAGCAAATAGGTTCGGTGGTTTGCCCGGGATTTTATTCACACACACGTCAGCTAGGTCGAGTATGTCCGTGACATGGGGTGTATGGGGTGGAATGAAAAGAGAGGAGGCGTGAAGGTAAAAGAGATGAAACACTAGTAACGAAATAGAGAGAGAAAGAGAGAGAGAGAGAGAGAGAAAGAGAGAGAGAGAGAGAGAGAAAGAGAGAGAGGAGATACGATGGCTATGCCAGTGGCATTGCTAGCGGAGGAGCTGAATGGTCAAAGCAATTTACTTCTGAACTCTCTCTTGGACGAGAACACACACACAGATAAAAAAAAAAAAAAAAAAGACAAAAAAAATATCCTACGCTATAATTTTCGTAACTTTTTACGAATATTTTAATCATTTTGTTCATTTGTTCGTTTTTAATTGGTTCGGTTGGTTTCGATTCTACAAATGTTGTTGTACCAAATTTTGGAAAACAAGAAGGTTCAAAAGATTATTATTGGTAATTATTTGGAAATTGTTTTTTTTAATAGTTTGTAAAATGCATTGATCGATATTGAAATTACGTATATATATATATATACAGGATGTTTTATAATCGTTGATACAATTGATAAGATAATTTTTGCGTAAAAACAAATAAATGAAAAATGTCGAAACAGTATAGGATATATTAGTAATAAACAATTCCTAACGACAAAAGTAAAAACTTCGCAAAATACGTTTACTTTTGATCTGTGTCAAGATAAAATTGAAATGATTTACGTATTTTAAAAATAAATGTTAGGTAGAAGTGATCGTGATCCTTCGAAGGAGAAGAATGATAAAAAGGGTTGTGAAAAAAAAATTCAAGAGAGCACTCAATTCACGATATCTATTCTTATATATTACATAGATATACTATGTACCCTTTTATAAAACGTATACGTATGTAAATACGTACATATATTAAATATACTTCATAGATAAAGTGACCGAACGTTAGAATGCAGGTCTAATGATATAGGTAAGACGTTATCGTAAAAAGTTATCGTCGATAGTAGCCTCGTGAACGTGAACACGAACAGTACGACATCTTGAGTCCGAAAAAGAAAAATAAATATTTACTTATCGTAAGATGATGGACTATACCATTAGAAAAACCAACAGGAATGTAACCGTAAACGAAATAAAATATAAAACCCTAAAGTAGCAGCTTATATATTATATAATTTAATTAGTCGGTGTATTTATTATTATAAAATAAATTGTTAATAGGGTAGAATTGTTTGATGCATTACCAACGTCCAAAATAAATATAACAATATATATGTATATATAGGAGAATGGGCCAGTTAGTTCTCTTGGTGCAAGTAAATGCCTTGCAAGACGAACGGATGATGAATTGCCGTCGTGTCTTACCTTGGAAAATGTCTGCATTCGAGTGTATCTACTGTAAGCGGATAAGCCCGGATAAAATTCTAAATGAAGTTTCGCGTAAGACCAAAGGACCACCACCACACTACCACCACCACCACCACCACGGACACAGGAATCCTTAGTGATAAATGGAACAGACGATTAGATTCTAACGAATCGTCCTTTCCTTTAGCAAAAAGAAAAAGACACAAAAAAAAGTAACTACCCCGAACGAGTTTATATAAAATATATATATATATAAATAATTAATGTTTAACTTAATTAATTTTCATTTAATAACATGAAAATATGAAAGATATATATAACACAGAGGCTAGTATCGTCGTGTATAAGATCGAAATAAATATGATATGAACGATTAAACACAAATAATGAAATCTTCTTTCTAAATTTTTGCTATTTGTTAGATATTTTTGTATGTTTTCTTTTTTACATTAATTTTTCGTTTATTTTCCTATACTCTTATATTTTCCAAACGCGGATATCATTGCGTGCATGGCGGGATTATTTTTCCGAGAGTAATTTGAAACGTATCATTTTCCGACCATTTTATTTAGTCATTTTCGTATCATACCTGGTTTACTTTATTTTTTTTTATTCATCCGATTCCTATTTATCGTCGATTATTATTCAACGCTAGTATTTTCATTGTTATCATTATTATCGCGCAAAATCGTAAATGCAAGGGGAATCGGAATTTCGAAAGAAATTTATGCAACCATCGGGGGTATCGTAATTAAAATTGAATTTCGAACGAAATTGTCGTATTCGCAGAATTACGAGTAAAACGTGAAATTCGTGGTATTATTATACGATAAGTGTAAAAATATTCTTTTCCTTATCTTCCTTTAGCTTTGTTCGTCTCACTCTCTCCCTCTCTCTCTCTCTCTCACACACACACACATACACATAGACTTTCTTTACTTGTCTCTTTTCGTCGTTTCTTTCGGAGAATATAAATTGTGACATTAGGAAAAGTTCCTTGTCTTACTTACCTCCTTGGCCATCCCCGAAAGGTATAAGTTCGCCGTTCTCACGTTTCCAAGTGATGTTTGGTTGTGGTGATCCCCTTGCTGCACACCGCAATGTTACGTTACTACCTTCTTTAACGACCATATCTGTACTCGTCGAATTGTCAAGAATGTCTGGAGGAACTGTAAAAGGGGGAATTTTAGTTGAAAAACCCTAATCTCAAAATAGTTAGAATGGAAGAGAAAAAGAAAGAGAGAAAGAGAAAAGTAACATACTCGTATAATTTCAAAAACTTTTTAATACGAAATTATTAAAAGAGGACTGGACGCATTTTTGCTCAAGAAGAAACTTTTAACGAGTCCTTTGTGGTTTTAGAACGTTTTATCTGCCAACATATATATATACTTATCTATCTTGAACTCTTCGTTCTTTTTAAAATAAAAAAATAAACATAAAATAAAATAAGAAGAAATAAATAATCGAACATAAAATACAATTCGTGTATATATATATATATTGTATATATATATGTATTGTCGCAAATGTTACATCGACGAAACGTCATACTCGCGTAATAACACGTTCTTCTTCCACTCTTCCTATTTCCCGAGAGAGGGACTACTTGATATTGGATATCTAGTATCATGTCAGTGAGATTACAACTTTACGTCATAGGTTAATAGCTTTCTTTTTTCTTTTTTTTCTTTTTAATTCCTGAACGCGCGATCTTTTAGGCGATGTATTTGTAACGTTTCATCGATATTTCATATTTTCATTTATAACGATCAACTTCATTTAAACGTTTGACGATTGGCAAAAATACGAGAGAGAGAGAGAGAGAGAGAGAGAGAGAAAGAGAGAAAAGTAAAATTTATTAATTACACGAATACGGTGAACCAACCTACAACTTCCAAAAAACCAGTTTGACTTTTCATAGGTTCTGTATTTATTTGACACATGTAATATCCCTGGTCGCTTGGGTTGACATCACGTATATGTAAATTCCACATCTTGTGCTCGCTGTGCGTCACTTTGATTCTATCATTTTTCGTTATCACATGATTAGCTATAGTCAGGATAGTTTGTGTATCGACTCTCAACCAGGCGACCTGAAACATAAAATTTAGTATAAATTTTTGAAGATAATACGATAACGTTATCGAACACGAATTTATATAAAATAAAATATGAGTATTATTCTCGTTGAGAATAATAAGGGAATAACGATATTCTCACGAACGAATTTTGCATTCGATTGTTGTACGCTTAATCAGTCATGTTTCATTTCGTTTCTATCTATACGCACGCATATGCGTTAGCCATGATTAATTAATCAGTACATATTTCTATATTTATAATTCGTACGATTTTATACGAACACATATATATATATATATGTATATATATATTGGAAAATTAAAATGAAATAATATTTATATCGTGAAACATTTAATATCATATATGTGCAAGAGAGATACATTTCGATTTTATTTGAGAAAATATGATAGCTCATCGATACAAAATTAACACTCCAGATGACATATAAAGTAAATAGATTTGCGTTTATATATTTTAAAAAAAAAAAAAACATTCTTAAATTAAAAAAGTATATTTGTTATTTTTGTTTTTGTTTTAAAATACAATATCATATTTCTATTATAACAACGTGCCCCCATTGTGCCCGTTTTTTTCTTTTTCAAATATATATCGGTTTGAAATTTCGTATTACCTGTAACAACGTGCAGTATCGTTTCAGTAAAATGTACAAAAAATATTCTTTGATCTCGGCGAAAATAAAGCTCGTTAGAGTTTCTTTGATGCACCATTACGAAATCGACTGCACTTTCGACGAGAAAGAGATATCATTTCCCCAAGCTGGACGACGATTTGTTTGACAACGGAACGGATCTTTCTTCGTTACTTTCGTTCTTACGATGGAAAGAAAGAAAGAAAGAAAGAAAGAAGGGAACCGGGTTGTTTGATTTTCCACCTACTGGCAAGAAGAAGAAGAAGAAGAGGAAGAAGAAGAAGGCAGCAGCAGCAGCAACAGCAGCAGTATCCTCCTCACCGACTTATTTTCCAATTCTCGGTGTTTCCGACGTACGCTTTTTGAGAGATGGTCACTTTACATTGCAAATTGTGAAAGCACGGACCCCTTCTTCTCCTTCTTCTTCCTTTCTTTCTTTCTTTCGTCAAAACCTACCGTTGATTTTATTCTCTTCTTTCCCTTTCCCTCTTTCTCTCTTTATCCCTCTGTCTTCTTCCTCTTTAAAGTTGTTCTTTCCAAAATATATATCTCACAGTTTCTCGAAACTTCTCTCTTTTAGCAAGAGAGACAGAGAGAAAGAGATAGAAAGAGGGCAAAGTTGTTTAGCCCTTTCCGTTTTATATCATTGTATATTCAACTTGGAACTTTTATAAAATCTTTCCATACACGTATATATATATAATATTATTCCACGGAAATAACTCTTTCCCATCTCTTAGAAAAGAAAATAATTATTATATTTTAACAATTATATAATTATTTTTTATTCTTTCATTTAATTGAATTTCATTCACTTATACAAGTAACAATTTGTCAATGATTAAATAAAACTTTGATCAAAATTGCGTGTTCTCTCGATCGTTAAATTTATGCGTAACTGTAGTAATCGATAAGAAAAGAAAAAAAAAAACAAAAAATTATTAACAATCGCTTTCGATAATCGACGAAACGACGATATGTCCGGTGCAATTTTTAGCGATAAAAGAAAAACAAAAAATCACTTTATCCTGCGATACGGGACGAGCAGACGGGGGAGGGGAGTTGGGATGGAAGAATGAAATTTAAAACGTCAAAGATAAATCCGCGTTGCGTTTGATTATTTTTCGTCGTGCACCGGAAGGCAAAACAAACTACATTTTCCTCGCAACACAAAGCCCCTGGACCATTTGTGACAGAGGAAACGAGGCATCGTATAGACGACGGTCACCACCACACACCCCCACCCCCATACAATTCCAATTCGTGTACCCTAAAGCACCACCCATCGAAGCACCTACCCACTCCCTCCCCTCCTTCTCCTCCATCTCCTCTTGCTTTTACACATTGTTGCCGTTCACAGCTCTCTCTACCTAGGTATGGTTGGTTATAGTAGACGGTAGTAGCATATCCGATAAACGGTGCTTTGTGGCTACTGAATTGCATCTCCGATCGAACTGGTTTAGCCAGCAGACCTCCTTCCTTACTCGCTGACGTAACCATTTTAGGTACTGACGAAACCTGTTCTTGTTCAGTAAGCTATCTCAACACGTTCTCGATCACGAATATTATCCTAACCCCCTCCTCCTTCTCCTCCTCCTCTTCCTAATGATTATCATTGTATAATTTCAATCCTACTATAGCATATCGGGTTTTGCCTTATTGTTAGAGTACCATAAGAAGATCTCTGGAGATAGAATCAAGAAATAAAAGTTTTCTTTATTTTATATAAAATTTCGACTATTTCTTTCTTTCTTCGAAAAAAAATAAAATCGATTATTTTATTGTTTTAAATACCGAATCGTCGATGATGATGCTACACGTTCCTTACGTGCTACAATTATTATTATATCCAAATACTTCGAATTGGAGGACAAGACATTACGGAATCAAGAATATTGCGGGAATGTCTTCGGATTAACTGAACCTCCAATTATGCGAAATGTTACATCGAAAACAGGAATCTTCTCAATGATACCAAATATGCCGTCAGAATAATGCCAATAAATATTATTTCATTTTTTTCAATTTTTAGAATTTCATTGTGATTGTAATAATATTTGATTAACTTTTTCTATCTTACAAAATTCGCAAATCTTTGACAAATGGTAAAATGAACATTTGTAAATAAGAAAAGGTATCCAATCAAACGTATACCAAAACTATCAAGGATTGAATATAAACTCTTGTATCTTTGTCTATTCAAAGATTCCTCGATTAAAAAAAATATATTTGTTCGTGTTCGGGGGATTTGTTTTAAGATCTTTATTTTACTTATTTCAATAAATTCGTGTTGTTACGATTAATGATTAACTTTCAAGCAACAGGTGAAGTGGATTTTTCTTTTATTCGTATAAGAGAAATCGCTGCAATACGAATTAAAGTGATATTGAGGAGGCAAATCTTGTTGTAAATGAGATTCAAAAGATATAGAGAAACACAGAAGAGACATAAACACCCATACACATACACACACACACACACACACACAGAGATAGAAGTAGCAAGACAAAAGGAACTTCATCGGGGGAGTCATGTCTATTGTTCGAATAACGCCGATACAAGTAATACTGTCTTCTACATAACTTTAAACTTATAAAGCATCGTTAGGATTGGTAGCAAAAGGTAATTGCAACGAAGCTGCAAGAATTCATTTCCCACAAAGCATTACCCCCACCTTCTCCTCCTATCCCTTCCTTTCTCTTGCCGCTGCCACCGTTCGAGAAGTCAAAGCAAATTCTCGCATCTCTTTAGAAAATCTCTTCTCTTTAATCTTTCTTTGATAGAGAGGAAGAGAGAGAAAAAGAGAGAGTGAGAGTGAGAGAGAGAGTGAGTTCTTCAGCCCCATTCCACTTCCTTCTTTTTCTATGTTTACTCATTTTGCTCTATTTACTGTCTACCCCTTGGTTCCCCCCGTTTTACCTCATACCCCATACCACTACATAACCTCTCTCTATCTCCCAGACTTTTTTCTTCGGAGGTTATTCGACTTTGTATACGAGGAACGTTGCGTGGAAAAGGCAAGGATCGTTTAATACCAAAGTAGTAGTAGTAGTAGTAGTAGTATTAGAGAGAAAGATTTAACGACATTTGGATTATTTGAACTAGTCAGCAACATTTTGTTCCTTCAAACGATGATATTAAATATTCACGCTTTCGCTGAATATTAATCATGTTACGCTTTATTTTCATCTTTTTTTCCTTCATCGAAATTTGTATCCTTTTCATATTTTGATTCGTGTTATTTAATATACACATATAAAATAAAAAAAAATTGTTATATTATAAGAGGAAATATTGACGTAAATATATGCACAAGTATATAAATAAAATAATACAATACATAGAGGTATATCCGAGAGGTAGTAATTCTCGTAACGGTTCGAGGAAATCGAACAAGCCATCAGACACGGAAGAGAATTTCGTAGGAGTTGGAGGAAAATGTATTGGCAACGGGCTAGGACGTAGTTCAAAGTGTCAGAGAACGTAGGAGGAGGAAGAGGAGAAGGAGGAGGACGATGAGGAGAACGAGGAAGAGGAGGAGGAATGGACAACAATACGTAATACGCCAGCAGCATTTAATCGGGCGTTAAACGATCGAACACGAAACGTCAGAGAACGTCGTTCAAGCGTCTCGAATTCGAGCGTGTGGTGCGAACTGAGGACACAATGACAGAAGCGGCCGTTTCCGTTTCTCTTCGTGACCACGAGGCTCCAACTAAAACGTCGTCCTTCCGCTTTACTCGAAACCACGATTCCTCTCATCTCCTCCTATATATAACTCTCTCATTCTCTCTCATTCTCTTTCTCTCTCTCTCTCTCTCTCTCTCTCTCTCTGTTCTTCATTCTTCGTTTCATTCGCACATAGTCGAGTAGTAGCAGCAGCAGCAGCAACAGCAAATCGTCATAAATCGAAGCTTCATCTCGTCGTGTTCTTGTTCTATACACGAATAAGATAAAATTCTATTCGTTTATTGTTTATATTTATTTAAAAACAAATTTTGTATCATTTATACAAAATAAATCGTCGATATATTATGCGATGAGATTCGTTAAATCATTTATTTAAATCACATTTGTTTATTCGTTCGAACGTTGAATTGAGAATCATAATTTTTTTTATTATTAAATAAATTAAAATGATATTCATTAGAGAAGAAATGTGACGAATCTTTTTTTTCTTCGATATGACTTTAAGAAAATGTTTGAAAAAAAAATGACATAGTTATACTTTCTCGATACCGAATAGCGTTGAATAAAAAGATAATGGGGGGGGGGAGAAGGGAGAAGAGCCAAGGAAAAAGTTTCCTTACGGATAACTTCTCAGTTACTCTCTCTCTCTCTCTCCCTGTCTCTTTTTTTCTT